AGGCTATAAAATATAAACATATTTTTCACTCTTGGATTTGTTATTTAAAAAAAAAGATTCAGGGGACCATGTAGTAAGGGAAGATATCAAAAGCTCTCTCTCTCTCTCTCTCTCTCTCTCTCTCTCTCTCTCTCTCTCTGTGTGTGTGTGTGTGTGTGTGTGTGTGTGTGTGTGTGTGTATGCACATGGGGTCACACCAGCCCAGAATGTGCTTCAGGAAATGAAAAAATGAAACAACATGTAGCTGAGGAGGCGAAGCAAACAAGCATGCCATTTCCAACTACAAGAGCTTCTGTTGAATAAACACAGACTGTGTCAATGCATAGAGCAAATGTAAGAGTAAAATCTGTGGAGAGAAAAGTATTTCCCAGGGAATTGGGAATTATTTGGAAAAATTAAAGCCACAACTATGTTAGCCATCCCTTAACAGGTTTTGTGACTTACAGATGAACCCTGCTTCAGAACCACTACCAACTTCTCCATTACTGTGGCAAAAGTCTAGTAAAATATCCCCCCCGACCCAGTTTACATGTTTGTGATTCTTGCTTGGAAATATTCTGGAAAGGATAATGTCATTTTAAGATTCTGAGTACGCAAATCTATTTTTGAAGTTTTCTTTTAGTCTCACTTTGCTTTTAGGAAGCATTGTTTATCTTATTGGTCTTTTAGTTGTGTTTTATGGTTTTTGATTTTTTTATGTGTTTGGGGTGTGTGTGTGTGTGTGTGTGTGTGTGTGTGTGTGTGTGTGTGTGTGTGCATGAATGAGTGAGTGGGCATGCACATTTCAAATGCTCTTTCTTTCATTTTGTTTTAGCCTTGCTTAGTTCTCTTTTTTATTTACCTGATTGTTTTCTTAAGAGAGAAAGAAGACTTGGAATTGGAAGTGTCAGGAGGTAGGGAAGATCCAGTAGGATATGAGGGAGGGAAAATGGTGATCAGAATATATTATATTAAAAATCATTTATTTTCATAAAAACAATATAATAAAAGATTCTAAGTACTATTTTAAAGATTCTCTATGTGGTTAAAAAAAACACATATAACCAATTTTTTTTGAAGAAATGACTTGCTTTCAGTAGGAATTCTAACTAGAGATAGGTTTGTCAAGGTGTCAACCATTTTTTTTTTCACAAGGCATACTTTTTTCCCTAAATACTAAGGCACTAAATCTGCCTATTTCCTGATTGTTTACATGATCTTCCCATCCAACTCCACTCATTTCCACAACCCATAGAACAGGTCTGTAAAATTCTTATTTAAAACTACTTAAAAGAGAAGCTCTGTGTTCTGGAAACCCAATCACATACATCATTGGCTGTTGAAATGCTCCTTGGATATCTACAAAGCTGTTCCATGGAAAGCAATGCCCCAGAGCTTACACACAGCTGTCTCTAAAAAAGTAAGAACAGTTCTCCCTGCTGTGAGGCCCAAGCTATGGCTTTGCCAAATGACAACCTTGGACATTGCATTTTTACTGGCCCAGAAACACCCTCCACTTCCCCCATACACAGTGTCTATCTGGCCTATTGTCTTTTCCTCTCCTCTTGCTGTTCTCTACTTTTCTTTGTAGACTTCATACCATAATTCACAGCTGGTGGGAGAAAAATGGGGTTTTGTCTCAGGTGTTCACTTGGTCTTGGCTGTTTAGTAGATGATCATCTCTTTTGCATCTGGGAATGAGTCTGCTAAGAACTGGATCTTTAGAAAGCAACAGGTACACAGAAGGAAATAAATCATGTATACAGAGAAGACACATGTTTTAGAAATGAAGAGATATAAAATAGATGTATGCCTTGGGAAATCCACATTAAATAAAATTAAATGTCTTACTAGACATTAAGCTTTTAGCCTTTGTATGTTGTGTTTCGATGGGAACTGCTAGGATTCAAACATCTAATGAAATTAAACATCATCATGGACTTCCAGTGCTGAAAATACTGGTGTTGTTATCACCATTACTTCACAGATAAACTGAGCCCTACAACACAGGAGAGACCCAGACATCGCACAGTAAATACCATTCACTAGCAGAATAAATGTCATCTACAAAAGGACTCTGACATTTGTTATACATTGTGTGACATCCCCCTCCCAAGAGTAAAGGTGCTGTTGGCTTTAGCAGAATGGCATATTTTTTTATTTTTTATTTTTGCCTTTCTTAACCCTAAAAGCTTCATATCCCTTGTTTTCTCTAGTTCCTCTTATTTCATTGATTACTTCTATTGTGGCTTATCACATTCTCTGGAGGTTGTAATATATATATTTCACCCCAAAACTGTCTAAGAACTACTGTACTTTTTGTTCTCCAGTTGACCATTGTTCTCTCAACAAATGAATGACCAAATGACCAAATTCTCAAGAACTTAAACTTAGAGATCATGAAATCACAGTTATATGGTATTGAGAACCAGCCCCAAAAATTCATGGTTAGAATCAAAGACAAACTTGGCATCATGATTCAAACAAACTTCAAAAACAATATAGCTATGAGATATGGAGATGGATCCATAAGGTGCTTGCTTTGGGGATATGGAGATCTTGGTCTGGAGCCCCGGAACCCATGTAACCAGCTGGGTATGGTGGCACATGCCTGTAATCATAGCAAAGATGAGATGAGAGGTGGGTCCTTGGGAACCACCTATTTGGCCTATATGGTGCTGCTTCAGGTCAATGAGAGGTCTTATCTCAAACATAAAGGTGGAAGGTGCCTGTTGTGGTTCCATTGTCAAATGTTCCCCTTAGCTCATGGTCATGCCATCTGTAGCTGCTAGTGCAATTTGGGAAGGTTGTAGATCTTTAAAAGGTGGAACCTTGAGGCCACTGGTGGCAGGCCTTGATGCTTCATAGCTTAGTCCCACTTCATATTCCAACTTTGAGTGTGGATGTAGTATGAGAACCGTGGTGCCTAATCTTGCCACCATGCCTTCCCTGCTTGCTGGCATGTCATCCTTGCCATGATGGACTGCATCCTTCTGGATCAGTTAGCCAAAATAAGCCTTTTCTCTTTCAAGTTGTTTTTGTTGAGGTATTTTACTATATCAAGAGAAAAGTAAGAAAGATAGTGTCTGAGGATTAACATCAGAGGTTGAACTCTGGGCTCCACATGGGTGCTATGCACCTGCACCCTATGAATTCGTATACGCACACACACACACACACACACACACACACACACACACACACCTATGATAGAACAGAAGCCAAAGGCTTTAGGTAGGGCTGCAGTCTACTGCCAATGTGGAGAAACAAACTTAAGTGAAAACCCATCAGAGGTCTAGAGAGATGACTTTAAAAGTAAGAGTATTTATTATTCTTGCAGAGGACCTGAGTTTGGCTTGCAATTGCTCTAGCTGCAAGGTATCCGAGACCCTCTTCTGGCCTCTGTAAGCACCTATAAACAGTTGACATGTACACAAGTATACACACATACACACACACACACACACACACACTCACACACACAAACTTTTTAAAAATCTTAAGCCACTCTCCAATTACAAGTTAAGTGTCACTATTTATATAAGCCAAACATTCTCTCTTCCTGTGATCCAGCCTCACAGCTTCCTGTTTTACCCAAGAATATAAATGATATATCCACACAAAAACTTGGACATAGACCAATACATTAACTCTATTCATAGCTGCCCAAATTTGGAACTTGCCAACATGTTTTTCAGCAGGTGAAAGTCTGCCTAAACATTGATATAAACAGGCAATAGCAAGCTATCAAATATTAAGAATAAAAGTATTATCTTTGTCCTATGTTGTTCAAACAGAATACCACAGACTAGACAATTTATAAAGGAAAGCTTACTTTTCATAATTTTGGAGTCTGGAAATTCTCACAAGGTGCTGGTACTTTTCCATCAGGTTCAAATTATTCCATCTTTTTTATCTTAGCTTCCTGTGCAATAATGTATTAAATCTTCCTTTATCTACTCACAGAAAGTAGAGTATAAATGGAAATGTTTGAAATTTTCATGTTTATTCTTACTTTTTCTCAAGAGAGGCAGAGAAAGAAAAATGGAACACAAATCATTTTTTCCTGAACATGAAGAAAGGAAGTAATATGCAAAGGAGAGACACAGACTGGAAAAGAATCAAGAATAAAGTTGTGGGAGATTAGTAAGGAGTGGGAAGGAGAAAGAGTAAGTTTGAATATGAAAGAGCAGCACGTTGTTTAACTGAGAACTCCAAAGCCTGGCCAAGGCACTACATTTACAAAGCTCAACTCATGCAGACTTCAAAAATGCTACAAACAGAACAACATGGAAATCAAACAGGGGTTTCCTATGAGCTCCCCACCACTGCTCAGAATTGACTTGATCACCCAGGTCTGCAGATGGTCCTTGAGCAACTCCTGTTTGCTTAACATGACTTGGCATGGAGTTGTAAGCTTTGGCACAGAAGGCCTGGTTTTGTAGTGACCTGCCAAAGTGCCTCATAACTTAGTGCTGGGCACACAGTTACTAAGGAAGACTGGGAGCCAAATTGGCCTTGGCGCTGCAGAAAGGAATGATCTAAGTTAACAGGAGAAAATAGAAGAGGTTTCCTCTGTTCTGATCATGCAAATGAAGTTAACTAAAATGAAGATGGACCAATTTCCAAATCTCCCTCAATGGAAACAGTAGCAACTGTAAATGTGAGAAATACATCTCTAAATAACACTAACACTATAACACTATGTTCCTTTTCTTTTTTTTTTTTTTTTTTTTTTTTTTGCTTTAAACTTTCCACTTTCCTTCAAAGGAAAAGGCCTAAGTTATGTTTTAGATGCCATACAGCTCTGCTCTGTATCAGTTATCCTAAGAAATTTTAACAACAGAGTACATCAATTCTAGGATCTGGATCTTTGTCACATATTCATTCCTAGTGTTTTGGCAAAGTCACCCCATGTCATTGGATTTATTGGTGGCAAGGATATTTTCCAGTTGTCAAATAATTTTTCTCCTATTTAAGAGTCAGAAATAGAAACATTCACTCATAAAGGAACTGAATAATTTGGAACATGAACAACATAAGTATTTATTTGAAAAAAATCATTTTCCGTTTCAGTAAAATGGCAAATCAGCTTTAACAGTTTCTCACTGTTAATTTTAGTCTGCCCTCACAGTTGCTTTTATCCATCATATTCAAGAGCTATTGCTACAGAAAACAGTTTCACAATTTTTCTAGGAAAAACAATAGTCTCTAATAGGTAAAGTTAATTAGAAACAATAAAGCTTGGCACCTGAAAGCTAAGAACGGGAAAAAAAAAACTGACATGAACACAAATAAATAAATATGTATGTACAGAAGAGACAATGCCAATGACAAAGGTAATTTTTACTGGGTAAGAACCAGTGATAAGAGTGGAAATTATCTCAGGACCATAGACTAAAGCTGTGATGTCACACAATGAAAAGAGAAGGTGGGGTGGAGAGGGAGGAACCAGAGCCTGGCATTGTTTAACATGTGGTTGGAGGCTGAAAGATGGGTCTCCTGTGGAATTCTTGCCCCATTTCTTCTCAGGGAGCAAATGCAAATGAAGACATGTATTTGGAACTGAAGGTAGAATTTAGATCAGTCTTTTCAATCCACTTGTAAATATTTCTAGTCTGGTGTTTCTTCATTTATTTTTCCTAATTTGTTTGCTGGACATTTTTTTAAGTGGAGCTGACATTATTGCCAAAATGAAAAACTAAAAAAGATTTTTCCAAGACCTGAATACTTGTAAGTAGAAATCAAAAGAAAAGCCATTTTTGAAGCTATGTCATAATTTTTACTATTAAATATGCACTTTGTGCAGAAATCTCACAATAGAGAGCTAATTAAAATCTACCTAAGTTTTTTTTTGGAGGGGCATGGGGGGAGTATGTGAATATTTAGTGACTATTATGAGCTTAAACTTTACCTATATGTATCCTCTTGCAAAATGAGCAGCCTGCTAATATAAGCCCAGAGTAAAGGATTGGCTTTACTGAAGTGAATCTTTCTCCTAAATGGACTCCTTCTCTGTGAAAGCTAAGTCTAGCAAAGTTCATGTATACCAAGATGGCTGTCCAGGCTGATACAAAATGCAAGGGCAACAAGAACTCACCACCACATTCTGTCAACATCTTTTTGCAGCCTGGCAAATACAAGCAGATCCTTCAGCTGTTGCAAAACCTGCAAGGTCTTCTATATCTTAGCTGAGAATGACCTATGTTCTGCACAGGTCTGGCCTCCCACTTCTGACTGCCTCTGCCAGAATCTCTCCCTTTTGTCATCATTGTGCTGCTGTTATGCTAAACCTGAAACTTCCTGAACAACCCTGAGAAAGGCTAAAGCCAGCAGGTACGAAGCCAGAAGATAGGATTCCATTACTTGAGAACAACCTATACCCTCATTAGCAAACACACATTGTTTAGGATCATTTAGGAGTTAGGTAAGCTGCTTAATGCTATATGTGACTTGCTTGCCACAGTCTGATCCATAAATGTTACACCATAGAGTAGTATATCTTGCCAGCCCTTCTTAGGCTCTTATATACTCTGATTGGAGGGCTCAGTGCAAATGGTTTTTCAACTAGCAGTTGTAGACTTACATATTTATAAATTATTTTGATTAACTGATCCAGCTGTATGTTTCAGTGTATGTTCCATGGAAGAAAACTCCAGGGGAAGTCAGAGGTCTCTGAAGTTTATGTGGAGTGTCTGATTTTATGGCTTAAAATCATTAAAGCAGGGATAGGCTCACATAGTCTCAAAAGTGTGCTCTTTACATGGTGGAAGAGGCCATCCCAAGCAAGGTTCTTAACTGGAATTCTCACTCCTCTCCTGAGCCAGTGGGCACAATGCACAGGGAAGGACAGGGGTGTGTGTGCAGCAGGTTTACTCTTAATGTCAAGGAAGCCCACTTTAATGCAAAGTCCACATTCATGTGTGCATGGGATGGTGACGATGTTTAAGCTGCATGTCTTGAGATATTGGAAATTTATATAGTATATAAACTACATCAAATTTTTGAAATACTTTTTAGCAAATTACATTCATGAAAATTAAATAGTTGACATAACAGAAAAAAACACATTTAAAATTACATGGGTCAAATATTAAACATCTTTTCTATTTACTCTTGAAATTTCACTGAAAAAGATAATAAAAAAAAAAACACTGCTATATTCATAGAAAATAGCATTGGAACAGAATCTGTGAGCACCCAAAATCACTAAAAAGATACTTAGTGTATTTTCTATGTAGTCCTTATGAAGCCAGGCCACATACAAGCCTAACCATGAGATTGGGTAGATGAGATTTAAACTAGAATTCACTCTTGGGTTTCTTCCTCTTGTGTCCTCTAATTTTAATGCCTTTTCCCTCAGATTCTCACGACTTTGATTCAATTATTCATGCAAAAAAAAAAAGTCCTACCTCCTTACAGTGTTCAAAGTGTTCTCATCTCTCAAGAGTGATGAATGAAGCTCTTCCACAGAAGAAATATTCTGAAAAGATGAATTCTGCATCTCACAAAAGCTTCTCTAACAATATCAGTCCTTAAGGATCTGTAGTTACCTAGGGAACAGCACACTGACTTCCGCTGGGCATAACTTTCACTGCCTGTAGAGATTCACACTTCTCCAGAAGAATTTTCAGTTTTTCTTTTCATGTTTTCCCTCTTATCAATGACATTAAAACTTTGTACTGTGGTTGAAGGTATCTGACAGGATAATATTTTTATAGAAGTTATCTGAATGAGCATTACAGTAACCCTTGACCTTATCAATAACCTGATGGACAGGGCTGATTGACATCTGTTCTCCACCATCATGGGTCAGTTTTGACAAGGACTTGTCCATGGAAGTACTGTCTGTAAGAAATGTTAAAAGAAATTAGGTTGCAGGATGAGCTAGTTACAAGTCTGCGGCCATGACACTCAAGAAACACACAAAGGAATAGAAGTTCCAGGTTCCCTGGCAAGTTAGGGAGTGGGTAGCACTCAAATATGTTCCCCTTTCAATGCACTTTTAATATTCACCGAATGTCAACTTGCCAAGTAATTTCTGTTGTAGCTTGTTACAACAAAATATGCCCCCAAATGACATTTTTTTAGAGTTAATGAATAAAATAGATGAACTTTTTTTTAAGAATATATGCACCAAATTGCCCCAAAGTCAGAAATGAGTTAACAACTGAATTAAAATGTGCTGAAATACTCATAAAAGATATGATATCTAAGATATATGTTTTACAATTAATATAGAGTAGAGAAAAATGAAAATATGGATGCCTCTGAGTTCACAAATAAAACGAGACTCACTACATTCTACTTAATATGTAAATTTGATGCTCTCAGAAGTTTTTTTTTGACACAATTTAAGCATGAAAGGCTGTGTTGTGATATGAATGGAGGTGAGCAGAAGCATTATCATTTGTAAAATCAAAACTCTCTTTACTGGAAATATTTCAGAAACAACAATGTTAGAGACAATAACCGCAACTGAGAACCACTAAATAAATTTCCAGAATTTTCCATCCTAGATAAGTACATGCTGCTCTTCTACAGATTTAGGAATTCTAAAATTGGCTCAGGTGATGGTATGAAAGTTGAAACTCATACCACCTTTATCATCTATGTAAACTATTGGGTTTCTCTTAATATAATCAGGGTCTGTCTTCCTCCTCCTTGGGGAAAGTTTTGCCCTTGAATTAACCAAATTACAGACTTCAGAGAGATGATAAAGGGGAAAAAATGGCTTCACTATAGTCATATCTCCTCTCTAGTTTTCCTCTAAACTTGGTGAGAGAGACAAGGAAATGCTATTCCCAAAACACTCATCTCAGTAGCTGGAGCTCCAAATGGAAGAAGCATTTACTTCCTTTTGTGTCTTGAGTAGACTCCATATGTGAAATGCCCCGTAAAATGCATCAATAGGCGACCAAAGTCCAAGGCATCTTTGTGCTATCTGTTGTTCCAGTACTGTTCTATGTTAGGACAAACACCAAATCAAAAATAGCCTAAAACAGGAAATGGCAGCGCCATCCCAAGCTAAAGGAAACCAGAGGAAAGAAGAGATCCTTCATGGGAAGATGGGCAGATGGAATAACAGCATAACTAAAGCATGTTCTAGCACTGATTAGAAAAAGCCTGGAAGAGTCACAGACAAGGCCCCGCCCATGAGGCTATCAGCAAGCTGGTTGATTTTGTGCTTCCTTCAGGTTCACAGATTTGCTAGCCACTGGTTTTCTATTGAGGATATTTATTAAATTAAATGTACATAATAAATAATTTGTGCTTGACGTTTTTAGCAAACAACAATTCCTCAGAGAAATGCTGAAGATGAATCCATTTTGCTTCCTGGATTGGTTCCAGGGGCATGGATTTTTAGAGGCTGTAACTAGCCCTATTCCAAACATACAATGCCATTGGATGGTTTTCCATGCTCTCCTAGAGTAGAGCTCTGTGTATATGCATCCAGTACATCCTATATGTACATAATTTCCCATGGCTTCTGGTTAAATACCATATTATGAGTAGCAAAGATATGAAAACCAGGGGCTAGAGATATGAACTGTTACTTGATATATATTACAAGCTCAGCTTGCAATGGATAAATTTCTCATTCAAGTCTTCTACGAATGTACCATGACATATCCAGTAATCCAAGACATTGAAAAGTAAAATAAAAAAAAAGTCACATCATATCACAAAGTTTATTAAGCACTTTTTTCTTTTGTCATTATATTACATGGTATGTTACCCATTCTTCTGGAGCATGGTACATTTCTTAGAAGGCACAGTTTGCACACACCTAAGCAGAGAAGAGCTGGCATAGCCCACTACCAGAAATTTCAGACTCTAGCTCAGAGTAGGAGCACCATTGTGCTAGCTGAGAAGTGCTGTAAAGAACAAGCCATTTTGCTGGTGCAGCAAGACCATTAGCTTAGTCCATGCAGACATTCTCATTACCTTGTACAAATTCATGCATCCAAGAAAAAGCAGTATAAGTTACCTGAATGTTCCTCTTTTGTTGAAGGAATTCTCTTAGGAGAAATTATCTATACCATAAACATATGAATGTCTAGATCAATTCCAAGAAATAAACCAACTACATATTTTTGAGGTTATGTGGCTACTCTCTGTATACCCGAAGCAATCCTCAGCAGACAGCTGTCCCACTAACAACCAAGAGGGATGTAGACTTGCAAATAAACTATAATTTGAGTGTTTTCAACATAAATAAGTATAGACACTTCACATCTCACTCCTTTTTAGAAAAATGTCAACTATTAGTGTTTTCTGTGCCATTCACTTCTGCTCATATGTTATATGTGGAGAAAACATTTTCAACTTATTTCCATTACACTCTTGGAATGTAGTATGTGTTAAGGCACTACAGCTGTCGGTCAAGGGCTTAATTACTATCTGAAACTAGAACCCCTATCATTATCCTTGGAAGCTAAAAGTTTAACCCTTTCACATGTCACTGTCAAGTAATGCAAAATTTTCTTTATTTCCCAGTTGTCATCAAGATTGTTTGGGAACATGTGGCCACAGCAGCTAGTCTGAACAAAGGACACAAACAAAAGCAGTGTTTCTCATGGTCCTTATGACTTTATAAGAATTGTGCTACCTTTCTTTCATATTTTATTAGTGTGCCAAAGGCAGGTTGCCACTGCTGCTCGTCACTTCCAGTAGTTAAGGAATTAAGTCTTAATCAAAACATTAATCCTGCCCCCATGCCAACTTGCCAGTTTCATCCTGGCAAGTTTCCTACTGGGCTGAAACATTTTGCAATTTGATTTCTGTATTTCTAAATAGAAATAACTTTTATTAAAATGAAGTATCACAATTTGAAAAAGAAAACTGTTTCAAGTTAATCTTTGAAGTTATAATAGTGAAAACTAGTGATATTATGGCTGTAGACTAGATGTAACTGGGTTAAAATATTTTAAATTTAAAATTCACAAGGCTGATGGATAAAGTCTTTAGATGGACGGTGTAGGTCATATAAGTCTACAGTCACCCTCTATTAGGCACTGGGATCTACAAGTCAGTGTCAGTCAGTTTTGTGATGGAATGGCTAGGTGGGAAACAACCAGGGAAAGCTTTAAATGACTTACCTGAGTGGCTGTTTTTTTTTAAATAGGTAGTGGAGCTGGATTTTGATTTAGATGTGAGGTACGTTGAGTTGGAGCCAATGGAACTTGAAGAAAAAGATTTCCCCAGGTTATCAGAGCTCTTCTTAATGATATTGGTAGCTGTCTTGCTCCAATCTGAAAGAACAAAGGACAGGACTTCATTAGTTGGCTTATTGAAAACACAAACTGTCCCAAAAATCCATTGCTGTGTCATTTAATCTATCCAGAACAGTCAGTTTCTTACTACACTCAGTGACTTAAAGAGAATGATATGGAAACAGGGAGAGGCTGGGGCAGAGAACTATCTTGCTCTGAACCCATGCATATCCCACTTTAATACCCTATAGATGAGAAGTGTTTGTAGGTGTTTAAAAGGTTAGTGACCCTTCCATTCAAATGTTATACATCCTAAGAATATTCTCTTCACCTAAAATTCAATTGAGAACCTAAAACTATGGCAAGGTAGAGTTACTGTAGTGGAACCTGCAGATTTGAATTGTCAAATTAGACATAAAAACTTAAGCAATTTTCTAAAGCTGTCTGGGATTCTTGTTTTTTCTCTACAACATTCAAAATGAGGTCCCATGCAGAATGTTCAGAGATTCCAATTCAGCATCTTAACATGCTTTGTTTCTATAGCACTCTTGGTGGATTTTGTTGCTCTGACAGCATAAGGCAGAATGCCAAAGGTTTCAACTGCTTCTCCAAATTAAATCTACCTAATAACTCTATTACCTTACCTGAATTGTCCGCTAACCGAAACCTGCCACAGCAGAGGTGGCGCCTCCACTGTTTTTGAACATTCTCCTTCATTGCACAGTGGAAGATAAATATAAATAAACCTGTGAGAAGAGAACATGTGAATATTTAAGACGAATGGTACATTTTAAAGGATAAACATTATGAACTATATGGAATTATCTTAGTATTTTAGAATTAAGTCACTGAGGGACAAAGATCTCAAAGAATGGAATCTTAGTGGGTGCAGTAGGCAGTTTAATTGTCTACAGAAGAACGCAGAAATTTGGGTAAATTCAGAATGAGTTCATGGATCTGATTCTATGCGTGTTCAGCATGCCTTATGACTTAACTACACTCCTAAGATACAGCAATGTTGTTCATCTTTGACTTCATTCCCATCTCACCCCAACACAAGATTCCAACCCACACAACCATATTGCTTTGGCTGAATCTTCTACATCTCATAATTCAGATGTTCTTAACTGAATCATAGTCTCATGCCTACCAGATCCAGGATACTGCAATAAACTTTTCCTTGTGGCACCAACAATGTGTACATTGAGTTGCTTTCTAGATGCTTCTAAGTTTCAGGGTGCTGGCAGAGCTAAAGAGTACCGAGATTGGAGAGTGAGACATGAGGTGAGATTCATGGATGCTGTGGTTCAGTCCTTGCCTGCTGGCTTAGGCTTACTAAATGTGTCCTATGAGGTTTTTCTGTTATATAACTGAGAACATAGGTAATTGTATTCTCTTAAAGAACTGTATAGTGCAATTGCCTGTGTGAGCTGGAAGATACTATACCCATTTAAAGAAGTTCATTCCTAGTATAAATCAAAGGGTTACTTTAGGGCCTCTCTGAGCCAGTGATTATCTTTCAATCTCACAGTGGAAAGTAAAGTTTTGTAGACATTGCTTTCCTTCATACTCTATTAATATTCTTTTGTAACACAAGTGTTTTCACATGTTGCACAGATGAATGAGAAAAAAGAAAATTCATAGGGTGTTTATGAGATTTTCAGGATACTAGGAAAGAACTAGGCTGTAAACTTGACCTTTTGGAGATCTAAAATATGAATTATTTTGAGAACCACATGCAGAATGTATTCATAGAGAATGAATTCAAAGAACTCATGTGAAACATTTTTAAAGAGCTAGAAACCTAGTGTAATAGAAGCTCCCAAGAATCCATGATGGTGACTCTACCAGAGACTCCTAGCAGTGGGGGATATGGAGCCTGAACTGTCCATCCCCTGTACCAGGAAAGACTTTTGGATTATATGACCTGCCTTTAATCTTTATTCTCATAGAGCTATTTAACTATTAGGGGGGAAATGATAGTTTCATTAGAAAATTGACCCACATGTGGAATGCATTACCTTTGCTTGATTCAGGCAGAAATATGGCTTTTAGTGTGGGTGTCCATAAAGATGGATGAACTCCATCTTGGAACAAGGACAGAGAGTTCAAAGCTGTCCTCAGCAAGTCATAAGACCCAAAGGTCAAAGGTGTGGCTACAGTAGGATGTTTGGATAAGGTATATAAGAGTGGTGAAAAAAACTCATGGCATTTCAGTATTGACTGATTTGTCCTCCTGAACTTTATTCTGTTTCTCTGTCTTTTCTCTATTGTCTATAGCCAGCCTTTCCTTCATCCACACTTCCCCACTCAGGTATGAACTTAGGGCCACTTGGCTGGTTCTAATTGCTGCCCCACAAAGACCTCTCCCAACATTTTAGGAGTACAGTGAAAATGAGTAGCTATTTGTTAGATGTTGAGCCTAATTATCAAAAAATTTAAAATAAAACATGCCAGAAAGACTTTCCCTAGATACAAAGGTGTAAAGTTGAAGTCAGTGTAAGTGGCCACCTGTCCAAAAGGTCTGATTTGAGTGCAGATGGAAGGGACAATGATAGTTTTGACTGCTAGTCTCTGAGAGTCCTTAATATCTAAAGGCCACTGGTACTTTCCAAAAAAGTAAACAATAAATGTGGATAAATAAATAAATAAAACAAATTTCACCTTTTCTGAACCTGAATGATAAAGTTATAGAAACACAGAGGGAAGACATAAACATTAACATAACATAAACTTAAGAGATTTCAGAGATCAGGTAAGCAGCAGTGGGTGATTGATGTCTTAGATCATGACTATAAATTTCAGACTTTTGATGTGAAAATAAGTCACTAATTCATCAAACCAGCTACTTGGGAAGAACATTAGCTTGATTCTTGACCATTGGGGAAACAGCCTAGATGGCTTCTAAGCTCTTGAGTGACTGTGCCCAAGACTAATGCCCTCCCATGTTCACTCATCACTCTATGGTTACGATGGGTTTATGGCTGTTTTGGGAAATGCATTTTGAATCTTCTTTTCATACTATAAAGACACCCTTTACAAAATTATTTCTCTGTAGCTCAAAATGCCATGTCAATGATGAGTAATATATTTCCTTACAGTGTGTCATATTTCATCCAACTTGATGTCATTTTGAGTGTCTGGAGTTGAAACGTGGGACAACTTTACCTTGGCAACCTTGGCAGCAATTACACATGTGCATGTTGTGTGTGTGTGCGCGCGTGTGTGTGTGTGTGTGTGTGTGTGTGTGTGTTGTGTAATAACTTAACTTCCATGAAGCTCCTAACCAGGCAAGGGAGATTCACCTGGAATTTGATTTTAGTGCACCCCAAAATTTAGCTTAATGTCTTAGTCTGATAATGGGATTGAGAATAATGACAGTGCCTGATGAATATCAAATGAAATTCCCACTATCTTATTCAAAGCATATTTGCTAGTGTTTTAATATATGGAGGTAGATATTCACTTCCTAAATAAGAACACTGACATAAACTGAGGGGCAGTTAAGAAATTTTCTTCAGTTTTGTTTCTATTGGAAACTATAAATTTTATCTTATGTCACCTTTTAATATGCTCTTTAATTTCCATATATATTACACACACACACACACACACACACACACACACTCACACACATACACACACACACACAATATTAGTATTTTGATTAGTATTTTGTTGTCAGATGCAAAAGGATCTTGGGAAAGTCATTAGCTTTTCTTACCATTAAAAGTCCTAAAAAGTAATGTTAATGATGGACTAACCTAGAAACCAGTATCTGTTCCTAGGATTTTGCTAGCTTCCTCTCACAAGGCCCTGAGATAAGAAGAATTCACACTGCCCCTCCTTTCCTGTGAGTCAACAGGTGGTAAATAGGGTCAAAAGATAGCTGTAACTCTGGTTTGCCCAGACAAGATTAATTAGCACACCTGAGGCCCTAAGGTCTGCTGACCCTAATAGCAGACCATCCGGCCTCCAAGGGTCACGTACTCAATGGACAGAGGGTCCCACCCCCTCCCTAAGCTTGTGGGTTTGCCTTTAAAAACACCTGGGCCCAGGGGAGGGGGCTTCTCCCTAGCCTGCATGCTGGAGGAGCCCGTTTGCGCAAATGTTTCCTGTTCATTAAAGCCTCTTGCATTTTGCAGCAACTGGACCGGACATTGAGTTCTTGGGGTATCGACCGAAACTGGAAGACTCCTCATTCTGAGGGTCTTACACCATCAGTTTGCCCATTAAAAAGGAGACTATGTCCTCTTTCTGAAGTTTCTGCATTTCAGATTTAGGAGCCTGATAGTAAATGATAGTTAGATGAAAGTGTTTCATTAACTCCTATGCACTACACAAATATATTTGTCTGGGTATCTTAATTTTATCAATGTAAGTAGCAGACTGATAATCCCTTTTTGTGTTCACTACAACAGCTGCTGATTGTACAACTATGCAATGCATTTATCATGCTCTCACATGTGGGTACTTGACTGCTAATGGATATTGCCCCCCTCCCCGGAAACAGAAAATGTATTTTTAAGTTCCAGGTATAAATTGAACTTCATAACTTGAACTTGTCAAGAAAGTCAAAATTCTCCTGATGTTGGAGAAATATATAAAAGGGGTTGGGGACCATATAGAATTTAGATAGTAGTTTAATCAAACCATTCTTTCTGATCCTCTTCATTTCAGAAAAAAAGAGAGAGAATTTTCTCAGTTTCATTGCCTCATGAAGCTTACCCTATTACCCCATTGTAAACAGAACCTCTTTATGTAATTCAGAATGGCCTAGAATTCAGTATTTTTCTGTTCCTGCCTCACAAGATCTGGACTCACCACCACACATTACTATACATGCTTCTAATAAAATATAACATTCTTACCAAAAGAAGCCTCATGTTGAAGGCAAAAATCAGCTCACCAATAAAAGCAATTAAAAATGTATATACTGTTCCAGGAAGTTTTCATATGGCCTAGCACTGAAATATTTGTTCATAGAGCCATGTCCTTAGTATCAAGGTCTTTGCATTTAAGTTTTTGTTTAGGAGATGATTTTTAATATCACTAGATGTGGATAAAATTGTTCAGAATGTATATGATTTAAAAACAGTCTTAAAGTCAGTTTCTTAAAGACTCACTGACTTGTTGGCAACTCATATTTTTCCTTTTCATTAGGAGACCCATGCTGGGAAAAGTAAAGCCTCCCAATTCTCATTAACAGAAATGGAGATATACATACAACTGTGGCTGTTGAAGTTTACTGCCAGAAATTCTAACAGTAAAATCAAGGTTGGGCTGGAAGTTGGCTGTGCCTTTTAAGTACAATCCTGCAATATAAAATCATGGAATTCCAAATACAGGTGGACACTCTTATCAATATTGTTTGGGAACTTTTTTGTAGTATATCACAAAAGAGATTAAATAGAGGAATATTGCCTTTGCTGAGCTGGATCCCTGTGTAGATGTGTTTATACACTATAAATTTAGCTTCCAACTTATTATTCCACATATTTATGATAACAAGCCTGAATATTTTGTCTGTTATGAGCCTAAATAAATTTGCTGAATTAATTAATGAGTATTTATGCAAGAGGCATCTCAGATTGGATCTAGGCCATGCTTGAGGCCTCTCCTTTCCCTCATTTTTTCCTTTTTATTTATTTAACAGTCACTGCACATCTACTTTGTGACAATTGTTTCAGTTCAAGAGTTAGCAGACATTGCAGGATGGTGAGTAATACTTTCCCTTCAGATAAGTATAGACATCTTAGATTATGGCAATAGGGAACGCCCAGTGAGGTAACTGAATTTTGAGATTAGAAAGCCCTGCTTTCTACCCGAGCTCAGATTTGGTACACAGTGAAATACACACACACACACACACACACATACACACACATACACACACACACACACGAGGGGGTGAATATTTCAGACTCTACCATTTAATTTCTAATGATGTGTTGCACTCCTGGTGCGTTAGTACACAAAAGAGTTTTGTCATAAGAAAGGAGATTGTCTGGTATCTTAAAGAATGTTATAGAAAGACTTGGGAAGTAGTGCAGAGTCTTGACATGTGGGAGACCCTAGGTTTAATATTCAGTACCACAAAGCAAAGAATGTCATTTAATTTTCAAGATGTAACCAACATACACTAGAGAATGCACCATGGAATCAAGATGATGATTGTATGGTATGGTATGGTATGGTGGTGCAGTAGGCAGGGGTAGAAGAATCTCTGTGAGTTAGAGGCCATCCTCTGGGATATATAGCAAATCTCAGACTAGCCAGAGCTACATAGTGAGACCATTTCCCTGTCTCTTTGTCTCTCTCACTCATTCACTCTCTCATATATGCATATATGACATATACTATAATATATATATATATATATATATATATATATATATATATATATATTTTCTCCAAACCAGGCATTGGCATGTTTGATAGGTTGAATTGATTCTGTATCTCATATAAACAAGTTTTTGAATTAGAGTTGGATTTTATTTTTAAACCTGAGAAGCTTAGGAGGTAAGGTGAACTGCTCTGCCCATGCATGGGAAACCTACACAGTTTACATGAAGGGCAGCTGTAGCAGCTGAACTGAAAAGAAGACAAAAGTTGACTGTGCCCCCTAAAACTTTTAGTTAGGCTCTGAGCTAACACTTTGTACTGCCCCATACTCCTTTGCATGAGCCATATTTCTTGAATACCTTCTGTCTACCTACCAGGAATTGTTCTAATGTGCCTGGAATATATTACTAAGGAAAGAAAAGTCAACTCTTTATCTATCCAAGAGCTTTTTAATGAGTGGCTACTTGTGCCTGAAACTATGGTTAGTACCCAGAGTAGTAACAGAAACTTGACCTATTCTGTCAAAACGGAAACTGTCTGAAAATATGATAAAATTAGAAAGCAACCACTGCTTGGGTACCACTTATCTTACCTTGTAAAGAATTGAAGATGGAAAAGAGGTACATGAAAGGAATATTTAAGGGTCCCCAAGCAAAGAAAGCAAATCCCCATGTCATGCCCAGCAGGAAGGTCAGGCTGACCACACTGCGAAGGTTCTTTAAAACCTCTTCTCTTAGGGTTCGGTTGCTTCTCTTTCCATTCCTCCCACATATCTGTACCATGACCACAATGAACATGGCAACATTCAGGAAGAACATGACTCCAAAGTACCCAGCACAGCTCACATAAAATACCACAGGGTCTTGAATCCAGCAGCTTAAAAGAAAAGAAAAAAGAACAAGATAAGAGAGTTTGGCAACCACACCCTGTTTACTCGTTAATTTCTTTGGCCTGGTTTACACAGCTAGCAGAGTTCTTTCTAAAACACCTATGAAAAGTCTGCTCACTTCTGTGGGCTCAGGTTTTGTTTTGATCCTTTCATAGGCAGTTTTTGTTTGCGTAGTTTTGGATGGCTGCTATCTTGATCTCGTTATTTAAGTCAAAATTAAAGAGCAAACAAGGTTGCTTGTTGAATTCTGATTGGTATGAGTGCATGCTTGTCTGGCTGGTTCTAAAGCACATATGACCCTTTCTCTTGTGTGCCCTTAGCTGTCCTTTCCTGTCAAATGGTGGCTGTGTGGATATCATTCCCCCAAAATAACATGGAAGCAGAAGTCTGCTAAGAGATTTTTATGAGAGCCATGTCTGCTTTGTACCTATGAAGGGAACAAGAGAGTTGCTGAGATGATTTTTAGCCACAGCATCAATGGTAGTGGTCACATATGTCCCTAGCTCCTTATCATCTGTGATTAGCAAATTCTTCTTTGTCACACTGAATGGAGGATTCAGGATACAAAGCAATTATTGTTTATATAACAGTTCTAGTTGCATCAAGATATTATGGAGTTAAAAGATTCATGTATGGAAGTTTCTTCCACACAATTATAAGGCATATGTAAATTATAACATATCTTCATTAAGAACAATATACTTGATTTTCAGAAATATATCAGATAATAGATGGAAGAAAAAGTCTAACTAGTTTGTGTTGCAAAATCGCATTAGGGTGAAGCTGAAAAGCAATACAATTTGCAGATGCCCTCATGTTTCTTTAAACTATTGAAATTCTTAAGTATCTGAAAAAATTCAAGTAATTTCAGGAAATCAAGTTCATCTTAAATGGACTACCCTCATTCTTGCTACTGAAGTGAATGTTCTCTTAAACAATCCCAGTTCCTTGAGCACAACATGGACCTCTAGCATTCAATGAATGCTCACTAAATGAGATTTCATGATGGCACAAGTTTTAAAAAGCTTCAAAATCCTATGACAACTGAGTAAGATAAATTTTACAGTCACTCGTTTAAAATTGATTTAATTTAAAATTCAGTGTTTCTCATAGGGATCCCCTAAATAACACTGCATACCCATGGCACTAGATTTTCTTTAAACTTGAAAATCGCCCAAAGATCCAGGAATATTTGTTACTGGTCTGACTTGTTAGGGTCTCATGGTGTTGCCTCAGAAATACAAGAAGAGAAGACCATGGGGGATGAGAATTGATTAGGTATAGAAGTTTTAGTTATCCCTTAAGTTTATATGATATAACGGGGGTCTCACATAATAAAAAAATATTCATCAAGCAATCAGTAATTCTTCAAATCAATAGACATTGATGATCCACAGTATCCTTGGTACATAAGAGCCAATTGTTTAAACCATATGATGACCTTAATCTCAATGACCTCAACTTCTGAAGGAAAGTTTTCTCTAAGAACTCACTGATCTCCCTGTGTTTTACAAAATCCTCACATTGGCATTGGGGCATTTCTGCTATTGCTGATATGTCTGGGTTGAAGGAGGAAAGAATAGTACAGAATCTCCTCCAATCAAATGTGTCTTCTAAGTCTAGAAGAGAGTATCTCAGGTTTCTGAACTCTCCAGACCACAAAGTACTGTATTAAAACAAAGAAAGGCAGCTCTGATCATTGAAATGATTAATCTGTGGCAGAAGGATCTTGGACAGATCCTCACAGGTGAAGTAAAACTTTTAAAATTGGGGCATTATTGTCATCATGGTAACTCATACTAAACTTTAGGAGACAATGTACATATCCCATCACAGTCTCCCCCCCAAATGTATTACTCACAATTCATCATCCTGCTCTTTCCCATAACTTTCTTTTCCATATACTTCAGGTTGTTTTCTGCTCACTAGGATAGTGGACACCACCAAAGCTGGCAGACCTGTTATAAAAAGATCATGATGTTGAGAGATCTCCTGAAGACTCTGGGACTGCCTCGTGGGACTGATACTCTTAAGTGAGAAAAGAAAACCCTCTACAACAGAGATTCAATTTTCTTAGAGTGGCTAGTTTGGTTGGTTAAAACCTACAACAAAATTCCCTTCTTAATGTGGAACATATGACTCTAAGTGGCAATAGTTAAAACCTACTCTTTAATGATAAGATGCTTGAGTCTTCTTTTGGGTCTAGTGGTACTCATTGGAGATCTAGACCCTGATTCTATGGAATGCAGCACCAGCCAGTATGGTTGCTGCTGCATTAGGCCACCAGAGTTCAGAAAGATGAGGCAAATATAGCTGTTTTTTATCCTTCTTCTTTTTTTAAATATAAAACAATGACTTTAGGAAAAGCAGGGGTAAACAGCAAGTGTAAGATGTCCTTTCTTTTGTCCTCAGAGATTCAGTAATATTCCTATATCTACTTCATTGAGCCATCCATGCCTCCTCAGTTCCTCAAGCCATCCTTGGGTTTCTCATGGCAGGATATGGAAAATTAAGGATGACTCAGCCTTGACTATTGCCATCTGAAAAGGGTATGTGATTGAGCTTTAAGATGCGCAGCTCGACCTAAAACCCAGATTAAAAAAGACATTCAACCAGAAGATTCTGAACAGGATAACATGGATGGCCTTTGGATATCTGACCCAGGATCCATGGTTATAAAAAAAGAAAAAAAAGCTAAAAGCAATACTTCTGTAAATGTCCTGGTTGTGCATGTGAAAATAACACTCTTTTTCTGGCTTCCACGACAGGAATGAGTAGAAGTAGGCATTTAGCTGGCTACAACATTTGGAAGCTTAATCGGCTGTCACTTGCTTCTTTAGCCCTGGGTGGACTGGCACTGTGCTCAGGAAATGAGTTTGTGGTGACTCGGGAGATAAGGCTTTCTCCTTTACTCCTGAATTTAGTGTGTACCAGTAAGAGGTTCACAAACATACAGTTCTGGGGAACTGAGGACTTCTTTTCCTTGGGATTGTCTTATGAATCATAGCACTTCTATGGGTCTTATAGTATGATATACAAGGAAAGATGTTTGTGGGAGGTCTTACCCCAGCCAATGATGCAGAACTTTAGAATATACCGATGGATGTAAGTGTTAAACACTTTCACAAGAGCAATGTACATGTGGATGGCTTCCAGCCCCATCCAGGTGAAAGTAGCCAGGAGAAAGAAGTGCAACAGGGCAGCCACAGCTGTACAGAGGCCAACCACATCAAAGGAAGTGATCCAACCATCCAGGAGGAAGATGAGATTCAGGAAAAGTAGAGCTGAACTCAGGTTCATCAGGATTTTGGAGGGATAATCCCTGCGCAGCTTTCTAAGGATGGAGAAGAAAAATGTTTGCAAGGAGTAACACTATGCACCAATGTTTTACTAACAGGCATCTGTTCCTTTTTCCTACCATCTTGATGGTAGGTAACCACATATACAAGATATGGCCCCACCACAGGGAAGAATGAAGATATTTATACATATTTTCCAGGCTCCAAAGAGTGATTTTCATTTCAAAACTGTTTCTAACATTTCCAACTTATTTATACAGAGTTTATATTTATTGTCTATTTTTGAGACAGGATCTTCTACTACCAGCTCAGGCTGTCCTCTATCTCATGGAAATTGTCCTGCTTGGTCCTTTTGAGTGCTGGGATTAAAGCCATGAGCCACTATGCTCACATTTTGTTTTTAATTTAGGAATTTTTCCAATTACAAGAATTACATATTTAATCAACTAAGTTGTTCACCTCTATCATCTGTCTCTGGCTCTGTCTCTGTCTCTCTCTCTCTCTCTCTCCCTCTCTCTCTCTCTCTCTCTCTCTCTCTGTGTGTGTGTGTGTGTGTGTGGTAGTACACCTTCATGTGGATGCTAGCAAAACCCATAACAGGGCATTAAAGACCCTGGAACTAAAGTTACAGATGGTCATGTGCTGCCTGATGAGTGTGGTAAAATCTAAACTCAGGTTCTTCTGCCAAGGTAGCCAGTGATCTTAGCTCCTGAACCATTTCTTTAGCCCTGACATTTTTATTTAAAGTAATTTCCTTTGAATTGTTTAATGTTTCTTGATTTTTAATGAGTCAGAGATCCCTTTCAAAAAATTTCCTGTTTCAAGAATGCTTGTATATAATTCATGAAGTAAATACCTTTTACAATGTAGCAAGTATTTCGTGTCATTTTAATTTACATAAGTGTTATGTTACTAAACCACTTTACAAATAGAGATATAGTAGTTATACACTAAAATTCTATACCTGGAAAATTCATGATGCATTATCTTATGGGAACGATGAGGATTAAAAGCGAGACAGCAAAATGATTCACAAACTATAGAATTGTGTCTTAAAGCTGAGGTAATTTTCATGCTCACATTTTCAATTGTTAGTACTGGGCTTCACAGACAGATATACTTACTCAAAAGCAACATATGTTAGGAGAGTTGCTGCTGAGAAAATAGCAGATATCCCACACCCAATGTAGGTGATGAAAGTGAGGACCTTTGTGTTTCTTCCATCTATTTGTGAGGCACTCCTTGGAAGATCCTAAAAAAACATAGGATATGGCTATATTATTCTTCTTCCATAACAGTGGTATTTTATGTCATTAGAAAGTTCACAGTTAACACTAGAGTGGTTCAGTCACAGGGCCTAGAAACAACAATGCTCACCAACACTGACATAGCCACTTGCTGCACTCTTGTGGACCAAGCCAAGAAAGAAAAATGAAGCGTTATTACAGAAGTAGGCACACACTGTTTTAAATCAGTACCTCCTAATCTAAGCCTTTGGCATCCTACTATAAGCCAATGAGTGAAACCACAGGTGGCCCCAACAGAAATGGTGGAGGGTACAGTTGTCTTGTATGATAAGTTAACAGTCACACCTGCTTCTACAAGGATAGGTGCATGAATATAAATGGAGGTCACTATGCAAACATTCTAGGCCCCTCCTAGGTATGAAAAGACTTCCCCTTCTTTGACAGCCCGAGTCCCTCAAAATACAAGGAAGACATGTGGGAATGGGGTTCAGGGTTTGAGTGAGTGCCACTAGACTCAAGGTGGGTGGGTGCCAATATGGTATACTCACTGAAGAATAAGCTAGAGAAATTAGGAGCTCTGTAGGATCATCTAGGTAACACAAACAACTGGTCACTAAATAAAGTAACAGAGTAATTTTACACACTGATAGCAACTCTCACAGAATTCAAATATCATGTAGTGCCTTCTGAAAAGGATCACATGGCAATGGTATCCTTCTGAGCCAGACAACATGAACAATAAAAAAATAGGAAAGTCATTTCTATTGCAGAGAAATATAGAAAAGGACAAGGAACATTTTCCATGGTTATAGAATAAAAGCTATAAATTTATGTGTTGTGGGATGATTTAGATTATCTTATACAAATGAACAAAGAGCTTGTAAATCTAGAAGAAAAAACTATGACTCAAGTGTTGGTGGTTTGGAAGCATCAAAAGGATGTAGACACATTGCCATAAAGGATGAATTTTTAGAAAGTCTTTCTTGCAGCAATTTATAATCTTATAAAAGAAGCCAAATAGAAAGTGGAATATTCACTAATACAAAAATCTCCACAAAAACCTGACTTTTTACTTAGACAACAACAGAAAATACAATGTACATTTATAAACCCAAATAAAACGTAAATAAATATAGTGCTGTCATGAGAGTAATATGCAGGTAAAAATCTGGCTGCATATAAATTACATTTAAGGAGTCAATTGTTTCAATAGCATCTATTTGTCTAGAAATAAAAGTCATAATCATTTTCAAACATACATGCATATTGTTCAAATAATTAAGCTAAAGCTCATATAGCTGAATGACTCATTATGCAAGTGTTTTTCTGAAGAATAACTTTAGTCACTTTTAAAGAAAAGATGGGAGGAAATATGAATTTCTGTTTAAAATGCATAGGGAAAACACACTATACTTTAGTTATTCATTATAATCTCCTGAAGAAAAAACATATTTTGACAGCAATAAAGTTACTTTCTGTGACTTGACACCTTTGTCAATGTCTTGTCCTTCTTGCCCAGAGTATTTATATCCTTGGATGTCAGGAAATTTACAACTTTCAGGGTTGTAAATTCATATGACAATGGTCATTTGCACAGGCCAAGTAGTTCATCTGCCAAGTACTGCAGTCCACAGTTGCTCACTGTTGCCTCCCAGACCACACAGGAAGAAGGCCATAGGATTTAAGGGGAGGAAATGAATACAACCTCATGTCTGTGATTCTGACTGGATAAAATGTTCCACTTCAATTCACACTACTCCCATCTTCTATGAAAAGGCAGGTGTGGATGATCCCTTGGTAGAACCCTTCTCAAAACAATAGCTATGCTATGGCTCAGCTTATTTTCCATACTAGAGATGTGCTTATACAACATAAGTGTACCAGATCAATGTTACTGACTCGTGGGTAAGTTCCAACACACCCTTGGGAATAAGATGAGTCTTGAAAATTTAATGGGATAAAACAAAACACTGATTTTCTCTTTTTTGATGCAACCTCTTACATGTGCTGGCTAGATATATTTTTTCTCTCTCTTTTTTTTAACATGGGAAAGTTGAGAACACCAATTCTTTGTGATAACTTTATAATGTAAATAGTATTTTTCTTTTTTCTTTTTTTATTTTACTTCATTTTTTTTTAATTTTACATGTTGATCCCAATTCCCTCTTCCCTCCCTCCCTCCCTTGTTCCCTTCCTCTTACTTTCTCTCTCCCCTCACATGCACCCTGACCACCCTCCCCTCCCATCCTCTGACCCCCATTCCACATGCAAGGCTATGCCATCCAGGTGGGGTCATTTAGATCTGTCAAATCATTTGAAGTAGATATATTTCTTTTTAAGGACAAGAGAAAGAAAGACTAGAACAAGTGAGCAAAACCTCAAGGGATCATCTTTCTTGCAGGACTGAAGTTACTGACTTAAACTACTAACTATCTGAACAGAGTGTCTTCTTTGGGAGAGAAATTAGTACAAGACACAATATCAGTTGGTAAGCAATTGTATTAAATAACACATAAGGAAGAAAACTCTTGATAAGATTATTAATATTCTGTTCTATAACAACACCCAACACTTCCTTTTTCCATTACTCTTTTCTTTTGTCTCTGTCTCAGCAACTCTTCCTCCCTTTATGAGTATTTCTTTTTGATTCTGGAATTAGTTCTCATCACCGTTAATGCTACAATCAAAATAAGGTAGAGTTCTTTTGTATGATGTTGTCATTTGATGTAAATATGCGACTTCTGTTAATCGGATGCTTCTTTAAGACTCAAGATCTAGGGCACAGATTGGCATGATTAGGAAAAAATTTCTAAGATGTACAATCTAAAAATGTGGGTTCACATAAAAGAAATGTGCCTTCTATAATTATAATGAGTCAAGAAAGGCCCCTTACCATCAGGACTCCGAAGTGAGTGAAGTGGTTACACAGGCAGATGGTTTCACCGGCATCTGAGTCAGAGTGTGCAACACATCCTGAGGTGTTCCATCCTCCAAAACTTTCTGCATAAAGAAACAAGTGAAGAACGGTAGCAGCTGTGTCCTCTGTGTGCCTTAAATAGCTTATCCATAATATAGGTGTCATTCTTGGAGCAACCAAGATGTAGAATGATTTTATATTTCTGGAATTCTTGACCATCTCAGAATTAGTCAGGTGGTAGTTTCAAACTGTGTTCCAAAGAAATATCTTGGAGTTTCTGAAGATGTTCACATTAAATTTTTAACAAAGTTTGAAATCAACTTCCATAAAAAAAGAAAAAAAAGTAAGATTTCTTTCCCATTGTTATGTGCTAATGAGATCTCCGAAGGCCAGCACATTTTTGCTCTCTGGTATCTGACTAACGTTTTGTGAAACATACAAGGAAAAGATGTCAACTTTCTTAGAATATTCTGTGATATACACAGTGATTATCAATATGAAGACAGGGGAAAATGGCTTGAACACACCCTACCTGATATTTTTGCCATTATATTTGTCCATTTATTTAAATATGTTTAGGCACAGGATAACACTTTTAACCAAGTAGACAAATCAATCAGGATCTCAAAAACTAAAACACAGCAACTGAACCATCTGTAATAAAAGCTGACAAAAAGAGATTTAGGGGATGACTAGACTGTATTTCTCATAGGCAAAGTAGCCAGTAATGCATCAGAATGAATTCAGCAGCAACATGGCATTAGGGATTCATGGGGAAGATGACCATTATGGATGAACATAGGAGATTTCCTTTTGCACATCCCCTTATTCATTTCCATACTCTCTACCTGGTGATTTGTTGATTCCTTACATGTTCCTTCCTGTCTTGATTACTCAATATCATTGTGGAGGTCATTTTTCCCTAAGTAATCTATGTTCTTTATAATCAAGATAATATTTATCTTCCCTCAGTAGGCTCTTTCACCCACCACATAATTTTTATACCTTGTGGATTTTAAATAATCTCATCAGATATATAATGGGATGAGCTTGAGCTTATGTTCAAACGAAAATGGCTATAATAAAAATATATCCCACACCATACATATAACCAAAATGAAAGTAGTCAATTCATTCAAACTGTGAAGTCAAATACATTTATCTATTGCAGTGACAAAAGTTATTTTAAAAGTGAGAATTAATTTCCCAAGCCATCTAATATATACTGTGAAGCTCAGTTGCCCTTAAGTTGTGGTCTGAGGTGGCAGGGGCACTGGGAATGCTTGACAACACTTGAAATTTTATGAATCTATATTAAGTCCCCCAGTATTTTACAACTTACTATTTTTGTTCAGATCCCAGAAAGCACAGATGGGATGATGTACTTCCTGTATTAACATAAGAATAAACATGCAAAATTGTATTTTATACTGTTTAAAAGTCACAATTCAAATGCAATGTCAAGGACATGAAAATGTCAAGGACTTCACAAAAATGCTAATCAGTACCAGACATGGCACACCACCTGAGAGGTTCAGTAGCCTGATAGACCTCCTCTCCCAAAGAGATCAAATCAAAATCAACTAGGACCCCCAAGGAGAATTGCACTCACTTTTCTGCCAGACACTCACTCTCTGTTTTGCTAAAAAATATCAAATCCACTATTATTTTTCATGTTCATAACACCTTCAAAACTCTCCTGTATGCCTAAAATCAGAGCCTCAAAAAGCAGTTGTATGCCCACAGCCAGATTACTTTATCCACAAAAAGTAGTCAGAAAATAGAAGCAACCCAAGTAAGCATCGAGGGATGAATAGAGAAAAGACAATGGACTGTCTTTTAAGGAAGGAACACCAGTCATTTGCTACAACACAGACAGATCCTGAAGGCTTTAAGCTAAGTAAAATAAGTCACTTCTGCAGGATGATTACTGCCCTGTTTTCTGAGGTGATTGTCAGAATTCGATCAGTACTACAGGAACATGGAATGAATAGAGGTTGTTAAAGATTTCTGGAAGGTAAGAACAGGAAATTAATATTTAATGGGGGCAGTGTTTCAACAGGGAAAGATTTAATAAAATAACTAGGAGAGATAGAAGAAATATCTGTTGGCAAAAATGCAACTGAATTATGTATCTAAAAATGGTAAGTTCTAGTAAGTGTGTTTCACCATGAGCTATAAGCCAAAGTCCTCCTTTATGAATGCCAAATCAAATGAATGAGGCAAAAGATGAACAAGGAGATCTCTGAGGGTCCACCATAATGGTAGGTAGATTCTTCAGTGTTTCGACTCCAGTCCTCCAGGCCTTATCAGCCTGCTCACTTCCTGTCTGGTTATTGTGAGACCATGACCCAAAAGCTCTACAAAGGTGAAAAAACTTGTTTGTGAGCTACAGGGGAGTGTATGAACTCCCACCTCCTTGCATCACATAATTGGATGACAAAGAGGTTCCTGAGATAAGAATGCTAACACTTGGCATAACTTGGGCCACTACACATCTCCCAAAGAACAAGTCTACTCACTGTTGCCCCTTTAGCTTTCTCATCTGCAATTGTCTTTGACTTTAAAATCAAAAAGAGACAGACTCATTGGTGGCTGCTGCCAATCATGGTGCCTGTATATTGCCCCTTGCCTAATAAGCACATCTCCCTTCTGGAGGATGGATGTTGACCCCTCATAAAATGGGTTGGTTGTTCTTTATTTTGTGCAGTTCTCTGAGGTAGTGTGCTACAAGCTGCAAGATCACACAGTAATTATACAGCTATCATATCATGAGATAGATAAGAAAAATTAAGGATTCTTCTGATAGATAAACCAATACAAAAGTTGTATTTGGCATTAGAGTCTTGTGAATGAATTGTTTCTTGCTGCAGATTCTTCCTATAGCTTATTCCTTTCTGCAACAAACTTGGGATTTACTTCCCATGGAACAATTACTCAGCACAATCTACCCCTCCTATCCCTGCCTCCCCTCCCCCGCTTTTGGAGTTTAGTCATTACACCCCCTAGCTATGTAAAACTTGTTCTCCATTAACAGGTCCTAGTTTACTGAGTACATTCCTTAGCTATATGTCAGACCTGTTTCCCACTATCAGGACCTTGTTCCCCTCTCCATTGTAATTGCAGAGATCTGCCTTCCTACAATTATCCTTATTGACAGGCATTTGGTCAATGTTTAGGGCCCGGCAAAAGCATCCCATCTAAGACATTCCCAGATATCCAAGGACACAGAATTGTTATATGCCCAAAGTTGTTGGTTCATAGTTGCCTAAGTAGACAGAAAAAATAGGTATGACCTAGTTTTAACTCACTGGCAGATAGAGAAGTAATAACCTAAACTAACATTTTTAAACTTCTTGTTTTATTAACTCAGTATTTTAGCTCAGAGATTTACTGCTTTTGTTTCCCATGAGAAGATAATGACAAAGGTAATCATCCCTTTCCTGAAGGCCTGGGCTGCCACTGAAGCCAGAGCATTGGAATACACCAGATTTTGCTTCTTATACAAATTAAACTTAGAACCACCCTTTGACCTACATCCTAAGAAATTGATGTTAACAATTGCTTCTAGAAGTTTTAATTTATTGCTCTGTGTGTCAATCTTATTTGCCTTGCTGACCCTGAGAAACTCAAGCCTCCCATTGTATTACAAAAAAAGAATTACTGTTGCAAACATATATAATATACCTGTACCTCCAAGAACTTGGAGGTGGGGGAGAACAATAAGAGAGAAAAAGAGCAAAAGAAGAATAAATGAAAATAGAGAGGATCAATTGTGTGTGAGTCAATTCCTTTTTTCCCTCAAATTTTAGTTCCTTCACTTATTTGTAGTTCCCATTTTTGAACACTGAGCAAAAATTTTAGAAGCTGGCCTTCTAAACTTTTTTATAGTAGTGTGCACTCTTCAACCAGTATCTATGGCATTTTCTTACCTGAGTTCTAGTGTGTTTGATTTTGATTTGAACTGGATCCTTCAGATTCTGGATAGTAATGTTCCCAATGCTACATGCCATCACATAACTCACTAGGACTTTTCTTTGTGATCCAATATCCTTTTAAAGAAATGAACAAATTGTGTGAATTAGTCCCAAGTACACACTTTCCTGCTCCAAAGTAAGCAAACTGTCAGCAACTTTTACACTTAAGATTTTCAGTTCTAGAACATCCTGTTTATAACTTCCAATTGCTGGCTTTCCTGAATAGTCTACATGATTTCCCTGATTATAATAAATACATTGCAGGAACAGCACAAATCAGGGCTATAAGGGAATGTTCATACTCCATTCTCCATCACTGCGAATGATGTCAGCCAATCGACAACTGAAGCAGTATGAACTTATAAATCATATGAACTCATTAAAAAGATGCGAAACAATTAGATAATTTCTCAACCCTAGAAAACAGGTAAAGTTATTTACGGTGTAAAAATTAAGAAGCAATTCATCATGCATGCCAATAGCCTGACACATTTACCAGCTTATACCTAAATGTAATTCTATAGGATTGAAGTTCCACCCAGAACTTCTGCCTTCTATGCTTTGGAACTCAACAGCAGTGCAGATTTCACACAGAAATTAGACCAGAGGCATCACTGATTCTGCACTGGCCAATGACTAGAGTACTAGCCTGCCTTCCTAACAACTTCTCTGGGTTTCTCTTCCATCTGGGGTTCTTGTCAAACCATGAATTTCTTTATACTGAAGTTTTTAAGTCAGTTGTATTAAAATTATTGCAAGATTTCTTAAGTTCCAAACATAATTCTAAAACACATCTTTTGATTCATTTTGTTTGTTAATACCAACAGAGTTGACTTGCATTGGGGATAACCATTGCTTATTGAAAATGTTCCTATCTTATCTAATATAAGAGAAGAATACCACAGAATCTTCACTATTTGTTTTGTTTTTATTTTTTGTAAGTTCACTTTAAAAAATACAAAAATGTACTACTGTACAAGTTCACTATATATACATATATGAAAGGAACATTAATGGAGCCAAAAATAATAGGAAAGACAAGACTCCAATTAGACATTTTACACCACCAAGTGAAGACCTCAAGTGCCAGGAACTGGGTCTTTAGGCAAAGGGACCCCATGGAAACTCTAAGTCTCTTAGGCTATGGACAAATCTGATTGTTCTCCAAAAAGTGATGGTAAGGTCATATTGCTAAAGACAACACACATCTCATAAAGCATGGAGAAGTCAAGCTGGTTCCTAACTCAAACTTGTATAAAAGACTGAGGTCCATTTATGCTATACACAAATATTTTACAAAGCCTATTCCTAAAGCATTTGTAGACAACATATTTAAGTTTTAAAATTAGTGCTCACCATATTCATCCCCCTTGTCATCTGTCTATCCATCATCTATCTACCTACCTATATCTATCTCTCATATATCTATCATCTATCATCTATCTATGAATCTATCTCTTTCATTCTATGACTATCTTTTTATGTCTGTCCCTCTCCTCTTTTATGCTGTCCCCCAAGTTCTGGGATTATAGGAGTGTGGCAAGAGGCTCAGCAATTTCCTTCTCCTATAACTGAGTGATTCATAGTGTGACCCTATGAGAAACATCCCCATGAGCCTGAGACTCACAATGCTCTCCTACACAGGGTGCACAGCTAGACAAACACTGCTATCTTGAGTTTAACTGGTAAGTCTTCTTCTGAGGAACGAATCTAGCAAATGCTCTAAATGGGGCTATCCTCATCAAGGCAGCCAAGTGTCACTTGTGTTTTCTGGCAGTGGATCCTCTAGTATCTGAGCTGCTGCCAATAAAAATGATAATATGTGCTCAGCACAATGCCACCCTACTCTGCGGATATGAGAATGCCAAAGGTCATTTGAAATACTAATGGGAAAAATGATTAAAGCCAGGAATGCTACCCATTATTTAAAAGGTGCTTCCTGCTGAGTTAAAAAAAAATCCTTTCCTCTGATGCACAAATGCTTTAACTCTAAAGGCCTTGGGGGCTGGAGAACAAAAGAATTAACAAATAATAAATAGTAGTGTCATAACTAACTCAATTTCTCATTAAGTAACACAAGTCTTAGCCTGATAATTTGTTTTAAAAACTCAAGTAAGTAATTACTGTTAAAAGAGGTATTATTAGAAATAAATATCTGAACATTTACGTTATATTTTTAATTTTGAAAACAGTAGATTCATTTTTCTTTGCACCTGCTCACGTATTTCAAAGAAATCTGAACGTTTTAGCCTTTGAGCAAAGATCCTTCTTTAGAAATTGAAAAATAAACTGACGTGTTCTCACCTGGAAAAGTCCAGTTTTGTTGAAGAAAGTAAACTGTGCTCTTCTGACTAACGCAGAGTCTTCTTGACTTAAATTCTCCAGCAAGTTTGGGGGTAAAATCACAGATGCCAGTGGATCTGTCTGTCCATTCTCAAAATCCATCTGCCACATACAAACATATTGGCAGAAAAGGCATCATGAAGACAATGGTAAGGGTCCCCAGGCTGAGTTAAATGAGAGAACATCTGGAAGAACCACATAAGCCAGAACCAGGGTTGTCCTTGACCTCTACAGACGTTTAGAATTCTGGGATAAATCCCTCACGATCAGGCAGAGATCACATTAGGGGTTCGCAAAAGAATACCTTGATCATAAAGCACATTGACAATTCTAGAGATTGATTAATATTTTCATCTTTGAGTGTGGGACGTAGAGGTGTCAGATTTTGACATTTCCTCCATACACTTCATGAGAAAGCAGTGACTATGGGCATAGACTAACTTGTCTAACAGCAGAAGTTAGTTTTCTCTGCAAAAAGTCAACATCTGTTTCTGTTTTGTTTTGACATCATAGCTTTCATTTGAAATGAGATAGGCAGAGTGACACACTTTGAGTGGAGGAATTACACAGTAAATCTCAGCCTTGACTGACAACCCTCTGGTTGCTTTATGGCCTATAGACTGAAAAAACAGCCAGCACTATGAACACCCTCAGATACCATCTTTTCGTGAAAAAATAACTCAGGCCATAGAGGTTCCCTATACTTAGTATGAACCTGGGACCAATGGAGCTTGAACAGTTTAAATATGAAAACCCCTAATACCCCCCACCACAGCCCCTAATCTAGAGAGAACAAAAGTCTGGTTTGTATCTTAAGATTACACATTTTCTATGTTCATGGCAATCTATCTTGAGAGACAATAATAATAATAATAATAATAATAATAATAATAATAATAATAATAATAATAATAGCAATAATAAAAAAATCAATACTCCATGGATACTTTCCTAGGTCAGGAACAGTGCTATATCATTGTGTTTGTTCTGTTTGCTAACAGTGCCAGGACCATAACAGAAACTTGAAGATTACCGGATGAAATGTGACATTAATATATCCAAGAGGGTTAATAGAGCCCCAAATTACTTGTTCATCCTGGTCTGCTGCCTGCCACTGCCAAACCTCTACATTGTGGATTTGTACCACATGATTCTCAGATCATCAGCATCACCAGCAACTGAGCACTTGATTAACCTGGACATGGCAGAGCCCTATAAAAAATCATCATCTCAGAGGCCCTGATGGCAAGGCTCAGAATTGCTCTTAACATGTCTTCCCTGGGATACTGGAGTCCATTTTTAGAAGCAGTGGCAAGGGAGACAGCTTCTCCCTTGTCTCTTCCCACCTGAAGTTCTTTAGTAAGACTTTTCTCTCTTTATACTGGTTCTCAAACCATATTTCTAATATGGTGGTCTCTACCCATGTACCAACATTTCAGTTTATCTCCTCTCCTTTAGAAGGTGTCATTCATCATGTAGGCTATAAATCGTATGCTGTCTGTGATTCTACTTTTCCTCTGTATGCTGATGTCATTTTAGCCAATGTTCAGATCTGTCTAAGATCTCTTGGATCAAGACTTCCTTGAGGTATCTAATATTAAAGAACCAGTAAGTTTGTTCTCTGTGTCATTAGTTAAAATGAAAACAAGCATGGGTTTGTTACCTGGAAATAGGTTTCATTATTGCTTGGAAGGCCAATGCTAAAATTTGAAGGTGCATCTGTCCCTGGCATCAAAGATGAAACTCCAAGAGCCAAATTCTGTGTAGCAATATTCACATGTGGTGTGCTATTCAGGTCTATTTTGAAGGCTAGCTCATCAATTGTTTTTAAAGCTCTAAAGAAAAGAAAATTTCATCACTGTTAATTATACTGTGTTTTAGGTACTTGCCGCATAATAAAATACTAATAAATTATCTTTAGCTCTCTTATCTTAGAACACACAGCCATAAAACCATCCCAAACTCCAGTACTAGCTACTAAAACACAGAATCCCAATAACTGCTTCTGCCTACACAGGAAGTACACCCTCTTAAACAAAAATCAGCAACTAAATCATCAGAACTTTTGTTGTCCTCTCATATTGTTTGAGAAGCCAGAAGATAGTGTAAAAGTGTTTAGAGTTAATGTGATAGAGGTAAAATAACTTAGAAAATATGTTTAACAAATACATTTTATCAAAGAAGAATTATTTAAAGAAAGGAAATAGAAGAAATTAAAGACCCTACTATCAAGGGGGATAATAAAATACAAAGTAATGTAGTCTTACCTACCCTAAGCATTCTGTTTTGTTTTGATTTGATTTTTGAAACAGGGTTTCCCTGAATAACTTTGGACCCTGTCCTGGAACTCTCTGTATAAATCAGGCTGGATCAATCTCAGAGATCTGCCTGCCTCTGCCTCCTGAGTGCTATGGTTAAGAGTGTGTGCTTCCATACAGCTAGCATTTTCATTTTAGAAGTTCACATAGCTGTGACAATGTATAGAACATCCCATAGAATGACAAGTGGCCAAGTTATAATAACCCTGGCTAACCAAAGTTTTAGAATAAAAAATATATTGTGATGTACCAGGGTATGCTTTAGTTGGGGGTGAGAGGAGAGTGGTATTTATATATGCTGCCCAATAAAAACTCTAATTGCTTTGTAAACTATAATTTTGAAATAATTAGAGAGCTTTAAAGTTGATGTTGTCAATGACCTTGGGAAATATCTATGCATCTTCTAGAGTTGTGATTTATGGAGTCTGGGTACAAAGTATTCAGAGAGGGAGCAGAGCTGTCATCACGACACACGAGTGCAATTTAAGTCTCAATTATACTTACTCAGAAGATGACTCAAGCAAATCACTATCCGAACTGCTTAAGATGTTAGAAAATATATTCATGAGAGTGGAGCCAAGTGCTATATCAATATTTTCTTCTTTGTTCACGATCCTTTTGACCTGTTCTACAATGCTATTAATGTTGGCTGAGGATAGGTTCTGCCCATCACCAGTTAAATCTAATATCTCATTAGCCACTTCATTTGATTGTCCTAGAAGGAGGGAAAACAACATCAAGTTTGTCTGGGTGTTTTGGACATTTGTAGGAAAAGACAGTGTGAACAGTTTACTATACAACTGCAAGAAGTAGGGTTTCCATACAAACCCCATACCCACCTTTATAAGGTAATGTATCTTTACCCAAAATGACAAATTTCTTAATTATGATACAAGTATTTTGAGGGAGCAGTGTTCCCTTGAAATCACAAAGTACATGTTTTCTACTAAAAAATAATGCAGAAATATGAAAAACATTGACAGAAATGGCAATTTACATATTACTTTTAAACCCTCTATATGATTTTCTTACCATTTTTACTTCCTTGGGTTATAAATATGACAGAAATTAAAAAAGCAGAAGAATGTATTTGCTACCTAAATTATGTGAGATTTATTTGCCTGAGTTTTAATATTATAATAATATCACACAACAGAACATCATCCCTGCAAAGAATGAAAACCTTGATGTTGAGGTCATTTCACTTTGTCTTTGGGAATGGAAGACAAATGGTACTCACTTGAACAGTTGGAGGTATCAATGGGGCCCCAGAAGGTCGATGTTGCATTAGAAAGGCTACAAGACAACCGAATGACATTTAAATGTATGGCACCAATGAAATTATAGGGAACAAAACTTCAGGATTTGCCTTGATATCCAGCTAGACACCTTTTTAAAAGAATACTGAAAATGATGTTAAAATGAAATTATGTTATTGGAAAATCAGTCAGTAGCTTGAACTCTTGAAGGAACACATAAGCTACATCCTGCATCCTGACCTTGTGTACACAGTAAAGTGCCTCTTTAAGGACTTTACTGGAAAATTCACATTTTGATTTCACATACCTTTGGAAAGCAGATTTCAATCCAGGTTTATGAAAGAGGAAATGCGTTTTAGAGAAGCCAAGGAATTTTCCCAAGAACTTGAGCCAGGAAGAGGTAGGGCCACATTTCAAACTGGAGTGCATAAATCTTGAAGCACTTGTCTTTTGCCCCCACCAAGTGTCAAACTGCCCTTGATGTGGACTGATGACTCACATTTAAGCACTTTCTGTTCCTGAATTCCTTCCCAAAGAACTAACTGGGCCCCAGTAGAGAAATCCTGTGTCTTGGCAATCTATGTCAACAGGCTGCCCAACCTGTATCTGGTCTTTATTCCCCCTTTATCAATCTCTCTTCCCCAAATGGGTAAGAAGTTATAAAAATTTAGGTGCATGCCCCCATATCCTTTGCTTTGGAGCCATACTGGTTTCTAACTTCCTCAATCTCCCGGACAGAGTGCAATTAACATTGCTCAGAGCTAAACAGCCCCGTGGGTAATATTCTTTCCTCATCTATAATAACCCATGAGTGTGTGATTCCTACCCAAATTCTCAAATCAGCACAAGGAAAAAGTACTGCTGTGACATATATAATGAGGTTGTACATGTGGCTTACAAATAAAAGAAAAAAATTACCATGTCCGTGTCACAAAAAAGCCAGGCTTGTTTGGGCATGGATGTTTGTAGACAGAAGGTGAGGTGGCTGGCCAGCTAAAGCCCTCTGGATCCTCCAACCCATTACACATACCTAGGAGAAAATAGAAGTCAACATGAGACAGACTAAACCTTAATTTTCTGAAGTTAAAGCTGTAGGACTTAAACCAATGATGGCCAATTTAGTAGAATAATATATTCTACAAAAATATCAGTGTTTTATATTTAGATTTTCTTAAATTAGGAAAATAAACATATTTCAGATAAAAATTATTATATCTTACAAAGCCATCTTAAAAGAACATAATGTAATAATAATATATATATATGATTGTTCATGTAAATGATTGAGATATTAGGAAACAAGTTTCATTCAGAGAATAAACATGATAGGGATTGAGAAAACACCTAAAAATTTCAAAATCTGTTTAAAACTCAGGGTGGGAAGTTGGTCAAACTGTGCATGAATAGTTTCATTGCTGAGTTGTTAGCAAATTTTATGGAACATTTTCTAGCTGTTCTCATAGTGTACACTCTCCACAAGCTTACTGGAAAAGAAAAAAGGGAAAGAAAAACCAAGGAAGTTCCCCCCAAAACAGCCCTACCTTTCTTAGCTCCTGCTTTCATTCTCCAAATGTTCCACTTTCTACGTGAAAACACTCTAGCTAATTGATTGGGATGGCAAAAACTATTCAGATTTTATGTTTTGAAAATGTCAAAGTCACAGCAAGGTAGAAACAACTACAACAAAAACTTTCTGAGTACTGAAAAAGCAGTGAGCTTCTGGTCTTTCTGAGAACCAGTACCATAAGCCCCAACTGAAAATTCAAATGACTTTTCTAACCTACTCTTTGAATTTGGGAGATTTTAAGCTTTCATTTTCAAATGTCACAGACCTTTCTTTATAGAATCACTAAAGAAACAACATAAAATAATAGCAAATAATGAGTATAAAGTAATATTCATGTATGCACAAAAGGCAGTCTTAAGATTTCCTAGCCTTTGAGAGCAGATGGGGTTAGTTCCTTGGGGTTGTATAGTCAGATCTTCCTGCCATTCATCACACTGCTTCTTGTGTATGACATAGGAGCTCTTGCTCCTCTCTAGAAACCCTGATTGTGAGGAGGCAAATACTTTGCAAAGCCCCAGAAACTGTTGAGTAGGAATCCTCACTACTGTGGTTGTTATTTACACTTGTCCACCTCTCTGAGGGTCTCCCTAACTCTGCATGTTGACACAGTAGATAGAGGTGAACAGGTGCTCAGAGAAGTGGGCATTCACACTTGGGTCTGATCTTGGCTGTTTGCATGGGGTCAAGAACACCCACATTCCCACTTCCCACTTCAGTTTCCTTAGTGTACTTGAGGCAAAGCAGCTAAATCTTTTGTCCCGATTCCTACAAAAGTTCCGAATTTGACTCTGACTTTATTCATAGAATAACATCAAAGCAATTAATTTTTTGTGCACAGTTTTAAACATTTGATGGTAAAAATATCTCCATTAAGATGCATCCATTTAGCCAGGCTGTGATGACACACACCTTTAACTCCAGCACTGGTCTACAAAGTGAGTTCCAGGACAGACTCCAAAGCTACACAGAAATGCTATCTGGGGGCAAAAAAAAAAAAAAAAAAAGATGGATCCATTCAATCCACTTGTTGATTCATTCAACAATTACAATTACTCAAGTGGTGGTGGCTGAGCATTTAAAAAAAAAAAAAAGATGTCATCTCATGCTAAAGATCAAACTACATGAAGACAATATGCATATGAATGCAGAAAATAACAATGGAAGACTATAACTCTTCTGGGGTATGTGAAGCACAAGGTATCTGAACAACATGAGGCAGAGGCTCAGTGATGGTGGTGTGTATTACATAAGGTGATGTCAGGAAAGGCCTTAAAGAAGACATGGCCTTGTAGCTATCACTAAAGATATGTAGGTGAAGGTGAGTGGGTAGTTATGACAGAGGGTATGCACACATCTAGCTATGAGACAGCATGGGAACTTGGGAAAATACAGGAATCATGGGAGCTCAAGACAGGGAAGGTGTGTTGCTGAGAATTGATTTTCACTTCAAGAACCCTGATTTATTCCTGTTACATCATTAATAGGCAAAGAACATAGTAAACAGAAATGGTTTATGATAAGGAACATTCTTCATGAGTAACTTCATGAGAGTCCTAGTAAATGCATATCTGCATTTTATAATTCTGTAAGTAGAAGTCAGTGATGGTCAGTGTTTTGCCTCTTTTAGGATGAGAAAGGACAAATATAAACTGCCTGCCTCCTTCATTCCCTTAGATTCAGAGGTGTTGAACTGATTATTATACAGTGTTACACATTTTTAACAATCTGTCATATAACAAATTTCAGAACTAAAATACACTTTACACAGACAAACAACAAAATAATATTTGGGCTGTTACATGCTTAACTCTGAAAAAATAAATCACACATATGAACTCACATACCTAGCTGCTTCACATTGACTGTGTACAGTCTCAGGCCATCCTCTAGTGATGCGTTGTTTCTTAAAAGTTTCTGTTTGATCATTTCTCCATCCAGGTTGGCATTATTGGTGGCATTGTAGATTAGAAGAGCCCACAGCACCAACCTAGAAAAGGATGTCAGACAGTACTGTTATCTGGGTGTTGCTTTCTGACTGGTTGCTTTTGGCTGGGAGAAATAGAACATGGCTGCCATGACACCTTGAGATTGAAAAGATCAGCCAAAGAATCTTGGCATTTATCTGTGGTACAAATTACAACATTCACTCCACTTCACCTGGAATAGATTTGTGTAACATAGTTCTTTCGATTTTTTATCATAGCACCCACCTTTTCCCAGAAATATTTATATAGTATCAACAGTTCATATGTTATAACATCCACTCAAAGGGGACATAGTATAATTAATTCTCTTTTGTTTCTTTAGAGGCAAAACTTAATATTTCAAAGAAAATTGTTGAATTGCATATTGGGCTCCTGAAGCTGTCGTGTGTTATTATTTATAATTATGATGCATGTCCTGCCAATGGAGCTTTTATAAGTACTTTGTATGGTGAAAATTTGTAAAATAAATACTCAAGATATTCCCAGTTTGGCTAGTAAAATTATTTTAGAATGTGTGACCCTGAAAATACCTTTATGGGAAGCAAAGATGTATATTTTAAAACCCTTGTTAAAACTTACAGCTGAGCCATAATCACAGTTTTAATCAATATAAAATTTAAAGGCAATTCAGTATTGAGGCAGAGGTACATAATGCCATTTTGTGAGGCAAAAGGAGATTTATTTTTTGCTCCTTATGTGAGAGTGCTGCAGACATCAAACTATCATCCACATTGGTTGTTATTCATGTGCCAAAGAGAAGTGGAGGCATGTAACCTCAAAGAATAGAAAATGGCACATTCTACTTATGAAATTTTGTCAGTAAGAATAAAAGTAAATGCAACGCTAGCACATTTGTGCTGCTAAAAAACAAGGAACAAGTTAAGTATTTGTTATTCAAGGTTAGGTGACATAGCTGGATTTTACCCCCTTAGTAGCTGGCCAACTCAAGGACAAAGTGTGCTCTCCTAATTGACGTTGAAAAAACATTTTACCTCTAAAATGATCTGCTGCTTAACACCCATACATATGCTGTATTTCAGGATGAGGCAAGTATAGATCCAAACATATGGTGCATGGTGAACCCTTAATCACTTTCTAAATGCACGTGCTGAGGTATCCTCCAATTAAATGGCTGTTGGAAGAAAATCTTTGCCATTCTGGTTCCTGAGAATCCACAGTCACATCCGGGACAACATCAGCACAAAATATCGCAGGTGTACTCGGTAAACAAACTCAAGTATTCAAGACGGAGCCTGTATCTTCACAAGCCTCACCGTTGTTATTTTTCTTTCCCAACTGAAAACAGAAAAACTACCCTATGGTTCTACAATGGTCAAGATCTATCTCTTGTTGTCAATGGCATTCATCATTGGTTTAAGCCAACCCCTCTGTGGTTTCATATTCCCTGCCTGTCTAGACAGTGGAGTACATCAGCATTATCTGACACTTAAGCTGCAAGACTGAATTGAAAGCAAGAGTTTAGGGGAAAAGAATGGATGTAAAACTAGTAGATTGTGGCCTGAAGGTAAACTAGAAGGGAGGCTATAAAGCCTTGTCCATGAGTATAAAAGTAGACAGAATAGATTTTAAAAAGAGGGGGAAGCTATATTTAAAAAGACAATGCTGAGAATTTATAACAAAGAAAAAGTAAGTGGATTTTCCCATAAGGTAGATTGGTTCATTCTTCCCCTACTTTTTAGTGACACTATTCACTGGTTTGACATACCAGAAATTGAGATTTTATTTATTTAAATGTCTTTCAAACAAGAACTTGTGAGATGCTGGTATCCATCAACTGTGCCTGATTTTAGTGTTACCAGTAATATAATAACCTCCTGAGTAACTTGATGGGATGCTCAATACTGTTCTCGCTCCAAATTAGCTTTGTCCCAAATGCTAGATAAAGCACCCACAGAGGATCCTAGCTGCTGTTGGATGCATTGCTGAAGGCTCAACATGATGTAGTAGGAGGTGTGGGGAAGAACCATTTTCCTAGGAAGAGGAGAAAGTCTTGGCTCTTACTATCCTGAAGTATGTTACTCTGATTTCAGATCAATGATCTGAACATCCCTGAAGCAGACAGTGCAATCCCATTTATTGAATTTATATATAAATGATAAGGTGACAGGTTCAAGATCTGTTTTTCTAACATTTCAATATTAAATAGAAGGGGAAATTAATAATCAAGTTCTCTGGTAAACTCTCAAACACAATTTTATGTGTATCTTCTCAAAGTAGCAATAGTCTTCATGATTGCTTTCAATTCGTAAAAAAAAAAAATTTATATTTTGGAGTGTGTGCATGTGTGTGTGTGTGTGCTATGTTTTCCATAGAGCACCTGTGAAGGTCAGAAAACAACCTATGGGATTCCGTTTTCTCCTTCCACCATGTAGGTCCTGGGGATCAAACTCAGGTCATCAGGCTTGGCAGTAAGTAGCTTTACCTAAAGAGCCATTTAATCATGCAATGGCTACATTCCCATAACATCAAGTCAGTAAGTTAAAACCTAGTAATGTTTCTAAGAACACTAGTCTTTCAAATGATTTGTCAGAATTCTATGGAGAGACAATATGCAAGATAAGTATTCTTTTTCTCACTCAAAGAATTCATGGTTTTTCACCTTGCAGAAATTTGAAAAGCTGATCGTATATGCCCACTGGTTGGACATGCTGGGCATAGCCATTAATCATCTATATGTTAAGTCAGGGTTTTTCATTTGAAGCCCGCTTGCTCTCTTTCTACTTCAGACATGAGAAAACAGTGACATACATTAATGCTGAAGGAACAATGTGAATTTACCAAATAATTCAAAGGTTTTCTCTGACCATTGTTTCACTTTTTTTAATGAGCAAAAGAGAAAATACCACACTTTCCAGGTTTCCTCATTGTTACCTTTTATCATCATCCATGGTGTCTCTCTTGACTTTAATCCTGTCCCCTCCTGTGCTTTGATGAAAACTGTAAAGATAGACACGTGTATCTGTTATAAAGCACACCTACTGTGTCCAGTCACAGACAAACATATGTATCCCTTATCAGTCCTAGCCATTGTTCCAATCATAGACAGACATATGTATCCATTATCAATCCCATCCATTGTGTTCAGTTCTCAACAGCAAATCTGGAGAAGGTGAAATAAGGAGGCAGAATAGGTGCCCTAAAACAATTTTCTCAAGTATATATTCTGAGGTTGCTAGTCTGCAGAGCTAGATACCTACATTTGCACTCTTGTGAAGAGCCACGGTACATTTTAGTAGACCACAGACCCTAAGACACTGCAAGAAGGAACCTGATATCAGTTGTTAAGTGAGCTATCTCCTGGACTTATTGGACCTCTTTCTTAGATTATTACATCTCTGAGGCTTAAGTATCTATTGGTTTGTTGATGTCTTATTTTGTAGAGAAATCCGTCTCTAAAATATGGTGATATGCCTGAAGCATACTCAGTGTGATATATTAAAGAAAGAAAGCTAAACAATTTCTGTCTATAATTACCTTCTTTTACTTTTAATACATTGGGCGAATGGTCTATTGATTCAGTTATACATATAGAGCCATACACACAGGTGCTCAGATATAGTCAGAAAAATGAGTGGTAAATTAAAAACATTTCTGTTTTTCAGATAATCATTGCATTTACCTTATATTAACCACATATACAGTGTAGTTCCAATTTTGGAAGGTTGAATTGAGCTGGAAGACACAATGGAAAATGTTGAGTTTCTGTAATGTTTAAAAACGTTCTTTTCTGAATCAAGGTTGTCTCCCCTTCACACCATGAGCTGTCATTGGTTTAAAAAAAAAACCCTTGGGAAAATGCTGCAGAATCACAGGAGTGAAAGATAAAGGGAGGGTTGCTGGGCCAGAGAATACTACATTACCACCCCAACTCCACCCTCTTATTTATGAAGAAATGGGAATTTGGAGAGATGAAACAGCTTTTTCAGGATCATCTGCTAATCAACAACAGATCTAACACTGGAATTCAAGCCAGTGAGATGGGAAATATTGTCCTTTCCTCTGTAGCTAATAGGATACCAATCCCTCAATAAACACCTTCCTTAGTTTGGATTTAATAAGTAATAAGATGCATTCAAACATGTTTTGTAGTATTTGCCATCTCATAAGAACATCAGTGATAAGAAAAAGTATAAGCAGAAAAATATCTTTGATAAGTCTCGATGGTATTGGTACTATGCCAGTTTTGTGTAGTTAACAGTGGTGTGAGTCTCAATATGAATAAAAAATTTTCTGTGGTACAACTACACAAAATCCTATTACCTTTAACTCATGTCCCAAGACTTCTTTACATCCTATTTCATACACATCTTTACTCTTGTTGTAAACATTGCTAAAATACAATGTAAATTTCAGAAAATATTGGCAACATAATGATAATTATTTTCTGTGTACTTGGGTTGTATATACTGTATCTAAGTTTGGTACCCAGGGCAAAAAGCATTTAATATTTCTAAACTTTTCTTCTGGAGTTGGAATATTTACATGGATTTCACTGTTTTTTCAACTCTAATTCAAAATACTTGAGAGGTCTGTCAGAGTTTGAGTTTTCAGGTTAGGGGACTCCTGTAATGGGTGTTGGGGACATCACTCCTGCAGGCTGTTTTCAAGCACGTTCTTTGGGAGCTTGCATCACAAAAGGTAGCTAATGAAGTTTACCTTCCAATGACAATGGTGTTAAATGAAACACACAGGACAAGATGTGTTTTGTCTTTTTCTAATGCAAGCTACCCAGTTAGCGCTTATTTCTTAATTAGTAATACTAGCCATGAGTTCAAAATTCAAAGAAATAATTTAATAGTTAGAAACCATTCTGCCTATGAAAGCAAATAAAAAGAACACTGTGGAAAGAAAATGGGATGTAAGAAGGTATCCTTTGTCCACAGCTTGTTCTCTGTGTGGTCACTGAACACATATCCTGTTTTATTCCAAGGATAGTTTCAGCTTTGTATCCTGTGTTCAATTACATTTCTCCTCCTGTACATAAACACAAGACCTTGTTTCTTTCTAGTCATATACTTTTTAAAGTTTTCAGTTTTGCTTTTAATTATGTGTGTGTGTACGAGTCTATGTGGGAGATACGCACACTTGAGTGCACTACCCACAGAGACCAGAAGAGGGCATTAGATCCCTGGGAGCTAGAGCTGCAGGCAGGTGTGAGCCATCAAATATAGATGCTGGGAACTGAAATTGGATGGTCTGAAAGAGCAATATGCACTCTTAACAACTGAGCTGCTTTCCCAGCACCCTATTCATATGTTTATAGTGCATATATATTATTTGTGCAGTAATAAGATCTATGATTTCATTCATTGTCTTTACACTCTGTAAAGAAGTTAAAGTTGAAAGACCACCAGCAACACATCTGAAAGAGGGCTCATCTCCAAAATACATAAAGAACTCAAGAAACTAGTCACCCAAACACCAAATAACCCTATTAAAAATGGGATACAGAACTGAAGAAAGAATTCTCAATAGAAGAAATAAAAAGACTGGAAGACACTTGGGATAGGGCTCAACATCCTTAGCTATCAGGGAAATGCAAATCAAAACAGCTTTGAGATACCATCTTACTCCTGCCAGAATGGCTAAAATTAGAAACACCAATGACAACTTATGCTGGAGAGGATGTGGAGAAAGGGGAACATTCCTCCACTGCCGGTGCAAATTTGCCGGGAGCAAATTTGTAAAGCCATTTTGGAGAAAAGTATGGCAGTTCCTCAGGAAACTAAAGGACCCAGCAATTCCGCTCTTAGGCATATACCAAAATGATCCACATCCATGCACGAAAACATCTGTTCAACTATGTTCATAGCAGCATTATTTGTAATAGCAAAAACCTGGAAGCAACTTAGATACCCCACAACTGAAGAATGGATAAAGAAGATATGGCATATTTACACAATGGAATACTACTCAGCGGAAAAAAACCACAATGGAATCTTGAAATTCGCAGTCAAAGGATGGAATTTGAAGAAACTATTCTGAGTGAGGTACCCCAGTCACAAAAAGAGGAACATGGCATGTACTCACTCATAAATGGATTTTAGACATAGAGCAAAGGATCACCAGCCTATAATTCCTGCCCAGAGAAACTAGGCTACAAGGAGGATTCTAAGAGGTTCATACACTATCCCTCACAGAAGGGGAAAGGGACAATATCTCCTAAGCATATTGGATTTGGAAGGAGAGAGTGAGTGGAGAGGGAGCTAGGAGAAAGAGATGGAGAAGAGAGAAGAGCATGTGGGACTAGGAAGACTGAGAGAAAGAGAGAAAGAGAGAGATAACATAAAAGAGGGAGCCATTATAGGTTTGAAGAGAAAACCGACTCTAGAGAAATGTTCAGAGACCTACAAAGATAACCCCATCTAACAATCTGAGCAACAGTGGAAAGGCTACTTTAAATGCCCTTTTCTGATAATGAGATTGATGACTAACTTAACTACCATCATAGAGCCCTCATTTAGTAGCTGGTGGAAACAGAAACAGACACCCACAGCTAAACAGAGAGCCAAACTGGAATCCAGATGCATAGAGGGAGGAGTGATAAGAAAATGGGGACAAGACCAAATTACAGAAACCCACAGAGACAGCTGAACTGAATAAGGGGGAGCTAGTAGACCCCCAGACTGATAGATGGGAAGCCAGCTTTGAACCAATTCAGACACTTTGAACGTGTGCCTCTGTTAGAAGGCCTGGGAAGTCCAAGGGACCTCTGACAGTGGAACCAGAATATATCCCTGTTGCACAAAAGAACTTTGGGCGCACATTCTCCATGGAGGGATACTCCCTTGACCTAGAGGCAGGTGGGAGGGCTTAGTCTCTATTCCAAATGATTTGACAGATTTTGTTGATCCCTCCTGGAAGGCATCACCCTCCCTGTGGAGTGGGGGTGGGGAATGGAATGGGAGGGTGTTGGGGGTATATGGGAAGGAGGGAGGGATAAGGAACTGGGATTGATATGTAAAATAAGAAAAAAAAGAATGTATTTGTCTCAAAAGCTATGTATGCTTATGTGATATCATCTAAATAAAATGCATACCTCTAAAAAAATAAAAAGAAGTTAAAGTTGTTTTAAAGGAAGAATCGATGGAATAATGTTACTTACCCATTCTGCTACCTTGCTCTGCACCTTTACTTCAGGGTGATTAAGATCATTGTGAATCACAACAGATATTCTATACATTATCCCATCTGCACATGGGAAATAGGATTAATGTTTAATTACATTTTACATTCAGAACAAACAATGAAAATTCATAGTCACATCATTTCACACATGTCTGAAGACACAGAGGTACAAGAAGTTGGGCCAATTTTGATGTTAAAATTACTCTTGCAGCTACTTATAAGGAGCTATTGATTAGTTTACTCAGATATTTTTATTGCTTCTAAATTAATCACTCAGCTATGACAATTGTAATACTTGCAAGCTAGTATTTTTAATTCTATAGATTTCTGGTATCTAAATTCCATAAAATGATAGTTCTGCTGTGTGAAGCTTGATTTTGGTTTAAGAAATTATGCTTTCTTTTGTTTGTGGTTAAAGATAAATTCTTGTGGTTCAAGAATGTGAAATATTGATTCGAATCCTTGGCAAGATTGGTACTGGAAACGAACAGGCATTACACATCTCTAGTGAGCCTTTCCTCCTAACCGCTTTGCTTCTCCTCAGGGAAGCATGCACTTCTAAGTTGAAGAACTGGATGGAATTGGGCCAAATTTTTCCATTTAAATTTCTAAGTATAGCCCCTTACCAAAATAGAGAGGGGAAGGCTAATATACACATGTAGAATTTTAACTGGTTTAGTTCGCTTTATAAAGAAAGCCATATTCTGAAAATAAGTTTTTATTTTTTTTTTCTCTTAGTTTTCTATAAAGTAGTTGAACCTTTTTGCCCTCATGAAAAATGAACTCATCTGAAAGGTTTTGTTGGACTACAGGAGCTAACTGTGTGCCACATGGCATGTGACTCAAGGTAGCAAGTGAAAAAGAACTCTTTTAAAATTGAAGTTAAAGAGAAGGGGTAATTGATATCAATTATTGTTAGCCATATTTACCCATGCTTTTTAGGGAAGTGTTGAGTAAAAAGCATAAAATATCTAGAAATATATAATTAAGTAATGCTGAGGAGTACATTCAATGAAAATTTGAGGGAGGTAATACAAAATTATATGTAAAAATATGTCTTTGAGAAGTTCCAGGTATACCAAAAATGCATATCCCAGTATTATCTCGTATTATTTCTACCTTATCATATACAAATATGCAAAAACAGATTAAAAGACAAATGAGCTTAGTTTATACAGACAAGGTTATTTTAATGTCTAAAACTCCTTTTTGTTTCCTGATCTTGAATTTTCTATTTCTTCAAAACTTATTGTCAGTGGAAACTATTTAGACACATGTAAGAAAAAGATGATGATAACTTGAATTTTTAAAAAAAATCCTTCACTGTAGGTCTCCTCACATGAAATTATGGACCTGCTGAGGGACTTAGAGGATATTGAAGCTGCAGAGTATTCAAGCTGCAATGTCTCAGTATCATAGGATAGTCCATGAACAGTTGGGGATGTTTGTAGGCTTGTAGTGTTTTTAAAAGCTACCACTAGATGGAGCACAAATTATAAGTAATTATTTATTTCCCTCACTTGAAAATACTACAAAACAGTAAAAATATCAATATTTTAATATTGACATTTCTTAAATTTTATGGAAGCATCCAAATATTTAACCCCATTTCTTCTATTTTAAATGTTTCCTGTCCCGCTTTTTTCTTCAGTTCATTGTTTTCATAAAATGAAATATTCAATATCCAATTACCTTAATGCTTTTTAGGACTGCTTATGAAAATTACAACTAGATTAATACCTCAAGTAAACTAGTGTCTCATATTACAGATTCTTTTAAGTTATAAAGAATTAGCAAATAGTCTCTGCTTAGACACCATACAATTACAAACTTAGTTGAAAACTTAGTGGGATCTGCTTATTTATTTATGTGATACATAGGAAAGGAACCAAGGAATTAAAAAAAAAAAAGAAAAGAAAAGGAAAGAAAACATGAGTGTCTATTAGTGGGCTGGTGGCAGGGTTTTTTGTTGTTGTTGTTGTTGTTTTGTTTTTTGTTTGTTTGTTTGTTTTTTTATTTAACTTATTGTTACTGGGGAAAGATGCTTGAAAAACACTGATAAGCTCCCCTATGTTATGAGAGCAGCAAGTCAGCGCATCTAGATAAAATGACATTCTGGTATCAAAGACATCCACAATTTTTCACACATCCCTATAGACCAGAAGAATCTGATAGACCATACCAGGAAGCAGAGGAAGGAAGGAAGAACGAAGCAGAGTAAATAAGTATGTATATATCTACTTTTCTGTCAAGTCACTCTTCCAGCCATATAAAACTTCAAAGAGCTATTGCAGATATTGTATTAAACACTATTTCCTACTGTAGACCTCCAGTTAACCATCTAAGTTTCCAGAGTAATAAAAAATATTGTCTCCAAAGCTATGAAATACAGGATTGAGATGATTAAATTGAATGTATTTATTTGAAAAATGAATTAAAATCCAACTCACATGTTGTTTAGATTTCACACTATTCCTCCAAACTACAATGAGGCAATTATGCCAGTTGCAGTTATACAATGAATGGCAACCTGCAGGCCCTTACATGTCCAATTTCTTTACGACATCTGGCATGCCAATCTAATGACTGCTGGGCCCACAAAAAGTCCTGCAAGTGAATTTGTTAATGGACTACCTAAACACATCTGGGAAATTGGAAAAAACACTGCAATTTGCACTTGTGAGTTGAATTTTCAGAACAATAATGAGGACCACTAATTCCTTAGTTGGGTTGCTTGTACCTATGTCACACAAGTTCACTACTTATTAGGGTTGGTATTTGTTCAAGCACAGACAATCTCTTTAGGAATGGAAATTGTTATTCCAGGAGCACTTTGGAGAAGTTCAAGAAGATGGGCAAAGATTATTTGTGAAAACACTTAGACATCTATAACATTCTCAAATACCTGTGAAATGTTGCCTAAAAGATGATTCTCTTGGTATATGAGGTATGAGGTGCAAATTCTATTTAAAATAGTGAAAAGAGAGTCACAAAGAAAAATAATAACATTTCATGACAATTAGAACCAACTTGGTTGGTATTAGGCAGAATATGTGACCATCAAGCAATCTAGCTCTCTCTCTTCCTACATTGGTAGATTAATATTGATAAACCCAGTTTTCTGACAGTCCAGAGTTAAGAGGACCAGATAAATTAGACAGTAGAGTTGACACTTGTCACTATCTTTCTGACAATGGAAAAGTAGGATTTTCTAATATATCAGACAATACCCTGAGAATGTTTACTGTACCAATTTCTCAAAGAATAAGAAATCATTGATAGTATGTGAATGACATTAGAGGGTGAGGGACATGACATTAATGTGGTTTATATACAGAGAAAAAAATCATCTGAATTTACAAATGGAAAAACCTTATTTGAATATTTTTGTTTGTAATACTTTGTTACTTACTTTTTGGATAAGATAGTGAAAGGCTCAAGCTCTAAGCTCTGAGAAATCCAGTAGAATATAAGAGATACTTGTGGAAAACTGTGGCATTGCACATAATTTAGGTTTTCATTTCTGTAGTTATGGTTTCATTATATAATAGTAAAATCCCATGTGAATGTAGATAAAAAGAGAGTCAGTCATTGTATGAAAAGCACATGGCTCAAAAATATGATAAAAATTGCTAAATGATAAAAAATAATTGAAGCACAAAATTTTGAGATGATGTCCACCACACAGTGGCCTAATATTTTAATAGTTAAGATTATATGTTAATCTAATTAATATATAATTAACTGTTGAGTCATCTGAATTAGATTCTTATTTATTAATGTAGTAGAGATAAACCATTTTAACTGGCTCTATTATTTCCCTGCTTTGTTGAAATGCCAATGCAGCTTATGATGCAGAGATGGATGGCCTCAACAAGGCTCTCTTCAAGAGTGTTAGAAACTACAAGACTCAATGAATACAACCCCAATCTCCCAAGTGGAGGGCTCTGAAGTACCCATGTCAATGTTCTTGAACAGCAGAGGATGTGCCAGTTCTGAAGAGAGAACATCACAGAGGCTCTTTGTATGCATATACAAAGAGGAAAATAGTTAAAATTATAATATTCCCATCTGATGGCAGGAGTCCATGTGCAATATGCACTGGAAACTTATGCTATTGCTGCTTGCCCAGCATTTGTGTTGGAATCATAAATCTCTGTGGTGAAACTAACAGAATAACCATAAACACTTCCTTGAATCAATGTCTTTATAACCCTAATGAAACATATGTCTATGTTTCATGTAAAATATTCCATACTTCTAATGTAAATGTTCTTAAAAAACAAAACCAGTGAACTATGTGGGTTTATTTTTCCCTGGGTTTTGGGCCCCTGGTGATACATTACAGATGTTTACACTTACAAGCTACAGGACTGGATTTTGTAAAACTCCTTTGCTTCTAGTATTTCATATTTGAGAACACTACTGTGTTGAAGGCAATGGGGCAGTCACTTGATTGGCATGTGCCTTTATTACAAGAAACTGAAATCAACTAACTTCAAATTGCAAATGGCTATTATGCAATCCATATGTGAGGCAGAATTAAATAAAGAATTGAGCCATCTGGCTTTGCCTTTACTAGTTTCTTACAAGACATAACTGCCACAGTTGGACCTTTATGATTAGTACTAATAGAAAGACATAAATGGAGAAAAGGGGGAGAGAATGCTGGAATTACTTGAAATTTAATCATTTAAAAACTGCGGTTACAAGTGGAGCTCAGAGTTAGGGCCTGTGCCTAAGGTGTGGAACTCTGGATTCAAAACCAGTTACCTAACTGATAACATATCCTAACCAATGTCTCTCAAGAAGTGATAAAAAGTGCAAATTGTTACCATGGCCACTGATATAAACCACATAAGTGTTTAAACACAAAGTTAATTTCCACAAAAAATTAAATGCTGAGAATCAGATTCTGAAAAAGTACAACATCCTCTAAAATCCTGTTTTCACAGGCAGTACTCTTGGTACTGACCAGCCTGATACTCATTGGATTGCACAGAGAAATCCTGTTTCTCAAACAAACAGAAAAGTTTCTCAGTTGTTGTAATTAGACAAAACACCATTAAAAGGAAAGCACTTTTTTGTTCCCTCTCAGGGGTATCATAATGGAAATTAACTCTTTTCAATTAAATAAGTATCTTTTTCTTAAAACTTTCTTTGAAAGAAAATAACTCAAAGTGAAGGAAAAAAGTGCTCAGAGCTATTGGTTCAACTGGGACTCAAGACACAATGATGCTTGTTTCACCAGTCTTCAAATGTGCTAATGAACCAAGTGTTGCCAGTCACAGACCTTTGCTGGCACTGTCTGTATTTCCAGAATACAATTTTATATACTCTAAACATACTAAACATAGGATCTTACCAAATGAATCTTACCATTCTTTTGTTTACGGACTCTGTTAGTAACAGGGATATTAGTGGTGACAGTGAGTGGTGTAGTACTAGGAGGGCTTACAGTAACTGGTAATAAAGATGAGAAAGATGCAATTTTACAAGGAGCACAAAACAGTTAATACAGATAAGCAATCTACAGCTAATACTTGAAAATGCATAAGAGAGTTGCGACTATATCATGCTACTAATACACTAGACTAAAAGCTTACACTGCATAAAACGAAGTAAAGCTTTTTATGGGACATTAAGAATCAGTTTGCATGGCTTTGGTGCTACATTGCACAAAAGTCTAGAGCTGGCACAGAGGCACTGGAGAAAACACAACTGGATTCTGCACCTACATCTGCTATCAACAAGCTGGTAATCACATGGGAAATTACTCTTTCCAGAAACTAGTTCCCAGAGTCTGTTTAAAGAAACTTAAAAGCAGTCAATCTGCATAGATTTATACCTTAGAAGCTGTCTAAACTAAGTAAGTCTGGACTGATACACAGAGACTAAAGAAATAAAATAGCAAAAATAACATGTATCTCTCTTTGAAAAGATGAATGAAAAAGAAAAGCAAGGGAATGGTTTGCATAAACTAAATCAATAATTTGAAGGCTCCAGAAGCTTCAAAATACTAATGTGTGGGAAGTATACACAAGGACAACCCTTAATGGAGGTAGTTTCTAAGTCTTACATCTAAGCTATTTGTCTGACTTTATAATGCACAAATAAGAAACCCTCCTGCTATGCTTCAACGGCTTCTTTCTTGGAGATTGTATGCCTCTGTAAAATTAAGCAAGCCTATATTGGTCTTTATGCTTATCTTTTGGGTGCATTTGTGTTAAAGCACAGTCATATGTACAATGACTATCTGTTATATCTTTTTAATTAAATATTACTTAAATATAAAACAATAAAGAACTAATACAGAGGACTGCCTTCCCAAGGCAAAAGAGAAAATATAAACTCCTTGATGTGAAATGTATGTAGCAACAATGGTTTTCCATTCTAGAATAATATAAAAACTTGACAATGGAAATAATTTTGTTTTTTTTTAAAGTTGTGAACAATTGTGTTCATCTTAATGCAAATGCATCATGAGATTGTTTTTGTTTATTAAGGACGACAGGGACTAAATGAGGAGAAACCTGAGTTTCTCCTTTAGTCCACAGAATGAGTACTTTAAATATTTATATTAAAATAATAAAAAACTTAATGAATTTGTAAAACTTTTGAACAAATGTCTTCTGGTATATTTTATACAAATATTTCAGAACTGCATAGGGTTCATGGAAAAAACAAAGAATGTGATTTTCATGGGACATTGATTGGTAATAATATTCTCGTTATCTCAGAAGGGAAATCCAAAAATAGTCAGCTTCCTCTTGGCCCGTCTGGCTGATTCTCAAGACTGCCAAAAGCCTAAATTGTACTTTCTTGTTCTTACTTCTAATCTGTCACCTTTGTGCCATGACCCTCTTAACAAAGCCACATTCTATGCAAAGGCATACCCATGATTCTCATGTGGAACATAGAAGATGCTACGTTTTATTGAGGAATTTAGCATGACAATGGATGAAAACCCATCACAAAAAAATTAGGAGTAGTGATAAATTTAAGCAACATATTTATATCATTATTTTTGTTATATGTTGCATACATATATAACTATATTAACATGCAACTACTTAGTACATAAAACAATTTTATCCATAATACAACAATTAAGCACCAAAATAATTAACATAGCAATATTAATATTTGCTTACTATAAATATTTTTAAGATTCAAGTTAACTGATCTAATATAAATTGCTTCATGGGCTCATCTTTAAATCATATCTAAATATTCAATATAAGCTTTCCCCTCAATTTATGGATAAAAGCATTTCTTTAAAACACTACATGACTGCATATCCAAAACACTGGCAGTAATCTTGAGAAGAAACACTGGGAGAGATGAAATCAGACCTTTTAAGAAGCATATATCCTTTCACATTTAGAAACCCCTGAGTTTTATGGAGATATGGCAAAAGAGGCCAATATGTCCTGACAGCATACTATTTATGCACATTGGTACTGTGCACCCACATAGCTAAAACATACTCAGTCATTCTGTTTTTACCGCTTCTGTGTTTCCTGGTGAAAGTTAAGATAAAAAAATAGAGGAAAAAAAAAACAAAAAACAAACAAACAAACAAAAAAAAACAAAAACAAAGCAGTGACAACTACATCATCCCAAACAACAAGCCTAGGTACATAAAAAGGTTCAGGTAGATGACCCTGGCTCCCTACCTTGACAGAGAGTCCCGAGATCTGAACAGTTTGTCAGCTGAGCTTCAGGGAGCGGGATCAGGTAGGACCCTAGGTCAACACAAAAGCATATGTAAATTTAAATTATGATTTGCTGATATTATATAAAAAGTCAATATTATGAATCATCATGTAATTGGTAAGGTAGAAACAGTGCTCAGAGAGTCGACTGACAGTACTCCAACATAAAATGTCTTATAAGGTTACCTTAGTTTCCTCAAATACAAAACTGAAGAATTGACATCGCCTGCAAAATCTTAACCTCTGTTTTTCAGCCATCACACATGAATGAAGAGTGATTGTTCCTTTAAGTTTGTATAAAAATGTTTGGGCCCTTTTGAATAATGAACTATGAGACTCAAGTAGCAATCCATGTAAATAAAATAATTTGAACATTCACAGTACATTTCAAGACAGAACTTGGATAATATAAATTACACACAAAATATCCTTCTGTGACTTCAAGTCAGCCCTGTTTCTTTTAACTTCCAGCTTTCGCTGATTCCTCCTCAACAGAAAACAGACACTGAGCTGTTTTTTTTTTTTCTAGCAGAAATATCAGATGCTCTCAGATGCTCTAATTCCTCCTGTGTTAATTGTGGGCTAAACTTATTGCAAGTAATAGGATATTTGAACAAAGATATAATTAATTCAAATATATGCATTATACATACATAATGCATATTATACATCTAATTTTGAAAGACATTTATGTAGTAATGAATTCATTTCAATGATTAAACATCTGTCCAACTTTCCCATGAGAATAATATGTAAAGGCAGAGCAGGTGCATGGGCTCACAAAGTATGTCAAATTAGGTAAGTGACAGATACAAACAAAAACATCTCAACAGTTTAATGGCATCTAAGAATGTATGGTTTCCTCCTTCTCAGATGTCTCCAGCTCCTGGCTCAATTCTAGTACATTAGGAAAGGCCAGCTCTTCAGGCAGGTCTATGATGTGACATTTGTTGGCAAAAAAAAAAAAAAGAAAAAGAAAAAACCTACTTCAGGGATTCCTGCAACAAACACAGACACTTATCTATAGCTTATGAGGTTTGGAGACAGAATTTTTCTGCTGCCACATCTACTTTCAGAGAGACACCAATGGAAGCTAGCCTCACTGTGACATATGTTCAAGACCCTAGTGAAGAATCGTGATAGTGGTGGTGGTCAACAGGAAGCTGTGACATCAGTTTGGTGAAAAGAACAGACAGAAAATACAATGCATAGGCACTGAGGTTGCAAGAGCTCTGAGGCAACCAGACAGGATTTCTGAAACATGTGCCTAGGCATACTGAAGAGGTCTGGGAATAAACAGAGTTGGCAGCACTGTATTAGAGTGTGGGAATGATCAGATATCTATCAGTGCAGCCTGGGGAAAGCCATCTAGAATACAAAGAGCAGTAACATTGAGGCTCCAAGTCTTTCTCCCAGTGCTGAATCCCATACACAGTAGGTGCATGTTCAAGCTTTGCTAAAGAAATTATGAATGAATTAATCACATTATCAATTAAAGCTAAATTTAGTCTAAACTTGTTTGTAAAAGCCATTAAAATAAATGAAGGGGCACTTGGAAAAACTATAGACTGCAGTTTGAAAATAACTACTTTTGATGTGAGGAGATGAAAGAAGTTAAAATAGTATTAATCATTCAGGTTTAACATCCTGAAGATAGACAGAAAGAGATGGGCACAAGTAATATGAAGCTAGATTGTGTAAGATATAGTGACTAATTGGAGAGAGGAAGAGAAAAGGAAGAATTGGTTTCCAGCTTGAGAAACTGGGCATGATAACATCATAAATGGAGAAAGGAAACAGAAAGAGCATGGATTATCTTCTGTTATGTCTGGCAAGGGAAGCCATTTGCCAGGAGAACGTCTATAATGCACAGGTGAGAAGTTATCTTTCTTTAAGGGGACTAGTCAACAAAAGGTACTGATGAACTTGTGTTCGCCAGAGTTTGGCTTCAAGAAGAGAGCAGGTTGCACTTTAGCTATTGCTATATTTAAGTTTCCAGTGCAAAGATTTGGGAAGATAAAAGCAGCTTTTGGTCAAGGTGGCTTCTTAGAATTCAAGTAAAGAGAGTTAAATGGAGGGTGTGGCAACAATGAGTGGAACAGGAAAATTGAAATGACTGAAAAGACCTTTAACTGTAGTGTATAGGAATTGGTGTCAGTCTCATGGGAACAATGAAAATCCAATTGCAGGGTTTTGGAGAGTAAATGAAACTGGAGGAAGCATGGTGGTGCGAAAAAGCAGAGATAGGGAGGGGCAGTTTTGAAAACCTAAGCAAGCATGTACCCTGGAAAGGCTTGTCATATGGCAAAGTTGAGCAAGAGTGGAGATAGAGGGAGAACTTATCTTGAGAGCTTTTTGTCTCTTGAGCATGTCCACATTTTTCAGGACCTCACTTCTTTAGGCACTTATGTTTCAGAAAGTTTTTCTGAAAACTAACAAGTCTATCAGACTCATGTGACTGGAGAAATCTCAGCTATTTTAACAGCACAGTGGAGGCCCTCGGATGAGGTTCACATAGGTCTCAGATTATACACAATGCTGGCAGTCCAGAGCTCCTTGGAGGCTTCAGAAACTGATATGGTATCACTCCAAGCCAAAGATAGATAGCGGGCAATGTTGTGGGAAAGTTCTTAGGCTAACTCTATTTCCACTCTAGTATATCTATGAACTCAGAGGTGGGAATACGAGGAAATGTCAGAGGAGCCATGATTTAAAACAAGCTCTTGACCATTTTATCAGATTCACTGTATACATGTGGCTTCCTCTCAGGGGAAATTGTAAACATTTGCTTCTGAACATTTTAAATAGTGTTCTTTCTAGGAGAATGTCAAGTTTATCAAATTGCTGGTATTGTGTAAATACTGAATAGTAGATACCACTCTATTATAATCTCATGAAGCAATAGAAATTACATGTGATTTTTTTTTAATTTTTTTGTGCACATGGCACCAAAACAAGTGACAAATTTAATTAGAAGAAAATCACACTGGCAAAAGAAATCTCCTATTACAAATACCTGGGACTATGTAAGCAAATACATGAAATACAATAAGTAAATACTGCTGGGTAATGCCATTGTAGATTTACCTACTCAGGAAGTTGAGGCAGGAGGACCACTTCAGTGCAGGAATTCAAGGCTAGTGTGGTGAACATCACAAGACACCACCTCAAATAAAAAGTAGGTACCCCAAATATATACAAAATTTTCATTTCTAATTCATTTTTGTTTTCATTACCCAGTGTTTTAGTCTTACAGATTTACCAACTGGGAGACTGGAAGAAGAGGCAAACTGGCCTTTTGAAACAGTAACCTCATCAATAGTGCTTGTGTGACCTCTGTGTGTTGTCTAGATTTGAGTCTACTAAAGAAAGGTATCTAAAGCTTATTACCTCAGCAAAGTTTAGAGTCACATTTTATTCATTTTTTAAAAATCTTGAAAATGATTTGTTAGGCCTGGGCATATAGTTTAGTCGGTAGAATGCCCGACAAGAACCCATGAAGCCTTGCAGTCCAGTTCCACTGCATGAAGCTGGTATAGCAGCACACATCCTAGCACTTGGGAGGAGGAAACAGGACTACATCAAGCTTATCTTGGATAGATAGGGACTTTTAGAACAGCATCAGTTAGGAATCTTGTCTCAAAAAAGGAAAAAGGCAGTTGAATACACAACAAAACAAAAACAAAGCAAAAAAAAAAAAAAAAAAAAAAAAAACCAAACCAAAACAAAAAAAAAAAAAAAAAAAAAAAACAACCCTCAAAGACTTCGGGCTTCTCTTACCACTGCTCTTCTCTCAACAGGCTACTAAAAGACGTCACTTCATTTCTACAGGTTATGCCAGCAGCACATCTCACATCCTAATTAATAATTTTAATAATAGTAAAGTACATTGAAAATTTCAGAAAAATATACTCCTCTCCAAATTTTTCCTTTATTGGTGTTACTAAGATGAACTTCATAATTTTTCACAAGTAAATATAAAATTATTTTATGATTTTTCTTTCACTTTTTCTCCTTTTGTGTTGTATTGTGTGTATATGTTCATGCATATGCAGGTTTGTTTTAACTATGTGCACATGAGTATAAATGCCACTAAGTTGATGCCAGGTGTCTTCCTTGATCACTTTCCATCTTAATTTTTTGATGTGGACACCTTCATTCAACCTGGAACTCTCTGATTCCACTGCACTATTTGATTAGTGTGCCGCTGAAATCCACCGGTCCCAGCCTCTCCACTGATGGGATTATATGCCTTTTAGGTAGGTGTCATAATCCAAACTCAGGTCCTTGAGCTATCGCTTCACTTTTATTTTATGACATTTTTATTATTATCTTGTATGTGTAATTATTTCTGAAGATCACCTATGCCCATAACAAGTTTAAGCACCCCCCCAAAATAATGTGATGTCATGGTAAAGCAATTATGTTTTCAGTTAAAAATGATCTACTAATCTAATAATGGTGAATTTAGTAATTGGCTGTGCATTAAACTAAGGACCAGTAATTGAACTTTAGAGCTGTGGAACTACAGTATATTATGTAGTTATATATGAATACAGTATATTATGTAGTTATATATGAAAGGATGGGAATTAATGATCGGAAGCAAAATTGTAGAGATGAGAATGAAAGTACAGTGGAAAAAATCCATAAACCTCTAGAAAAGAATAACAATAAAGTTGAGTGCTTACAAATTATGTCTTATCTCTATATCCACAATGACTAAGAGATGGAAATGACTAAGAAACACTGGATAAATAAATGTAACTTGCCTGAACTTAGACCATTCATTGAGTTATACATTACCACTCCTCAGGAAAGAGCAGCAATTAGTTAAATAAATAAAACAAGAGAGAAAGTATTGTCTGTTCTTTGTGAAAATGGATGAGCATTAGCCAATGTCTAAACCATAATCATAACACAGGCAAATACTAGCACCTATAATTAAAGGGACAGAAAAGAAAATGATCTGTTCCTGAAGGTCATAAACTAGATATGTTTGAAAATTGTTCTAAGAAAAATAGAGATGCTATAACTTTAAAAAAAGAGAAAAAAAACTTGATGCTACAACATTTGTATCAGTAAAGAACTCAAAAGATTGACTGTGATTTTTAAAATGACAAACCAGTCAAAAAAGTCTCCACATACTAACAAAAAAATCTAGGGAAACAAAGCAGTGTGATTATCAAATTACTGAAACATTTACTGATGACATTGGTTTTATAGTTAATACATGAGATAAGTGATGGCATACTTAAATATTAAATGTAATCTGTCCTGTCTTACGTCCTTACTTTCCCTTTATATAATTTCTCCAGTAACACACAGATGGAAAACATACTCATTTTCTACCACAAATGGATACTAAAACAGTCAATACTTGGGAGATATGCCAATCTACTGGAATGCAAGGAAAGAGACTGCACTTTCCTATAGGTTACTGTACTCACTGAGAGCATGTGGAAATATGATGACCATAAACAGCAAACCACAATATTTTCCAGTAGTGGGGGAGGTTAAAATGTTAATAAAACACAGTTTATTTTTCTTGATTATTGAAGTTTTTGCTCAACCAACATAGCCAAGATACAATCTTTGTACAGGTATTTCCCGTCCATTCATAAGTGACTTGGATTCTTCAGCCCCAGGCTGATGATTAAGCAGCAGGAAATTCCATCTCCCACCAATCCAACTGACATGCATAACAAGACATCTGGGAGCACACAGTTGTAGGAGGAAGCAGCAGGGAATAGTGTCACCCTGAATGTCAAGATGACAGCTATAAAGTTACTGAGGCTCAAACTCATTGAGTCCATAAGACTTCATTGCTCCTACAATGAAATCATTTTGCAGACATACAGATGACTAAGATCTGTGAGGACACATTTGATACATTCCAGTAACCTTTAGGCTTTATGATGAGAAGCTCAAAGGTGGTTAATGTTTAAGAAAATAGAAAGAATGAATGACTTTACTTATGTATGGAATCCCAAGAAGTTGAAATCATAGAAATAGAGTAAAACGGTGATTCACAGGGGCTAGAAGGCAGAAGGTGGGCCACCTGGCCTTTACCAGCCAAAAGAATGATTTCAAGAGTAATCAACAGTTTAGAGGATCTACTCCATAAGGGCTTTAGGTAAGAGTGGCATAGTGTGTGCTTAAAGTTGTTGAGAGGACACTGATGGTGGAATCAGTCTGTTTTCCTTTGTCTAGATACAGAACACTAAAAGAGAATCATTGAAGACTTAAAATTTTCTCACTATGATTATATGGCTAAGTATGATGTAGTAACTTGACCTAGCCACTTCATAATGTATATAGCAAAATGCCATGCAACACAAATACATACAATTTTGTCAGTTAAAAATAGTTTCCATTAACTATTTTTTTTAAAAATGGTGAGGTTGCTAAGTATGAATTAATGATGTATGTGTTAATAAATTAACCTCCTCAACAGCTAATGTGTTCTATGCTTCATTTTGCTCCCTATTTGAAAAGAGAGGTCTAAATTTAGATCTTCATACTTAAATGATGGCCAGGGTGAGAAGGTAAGCCTGAAGAGGAAGAAACAAACAAGAGAAGGTGGACATAAGTGCGATGAAAGCTGAGGTAAACTCTAAGCCTCTTCGACAGGAATAGCCACAACATCACTCTAGTGGTGTTATCTGTGAAGAAATATAGGCCAGGTATTTGTGCTTGACAAAGAATCAAATCATTCATTTTATATGAAATCTAATCTTTCATTGTTGGAAATAAAGTCATCATTGAAACACATCGTGTAACTAATGCAGGAAAGAACATATATAAATCCACTAGGACCTCCAAAGTCTAAGGACACATGGAGGCTTGCTTCCTCACATCTGGAGCGCCTTTTCTACTGTTGCTCAAAGTATGAGTTTCAACAACTCTTAGGATTCTTTGGGCTAGTTTTGGGGCTCAATAAACTTGCTCAAGAAGAGCAACAGTAAATCTTTCAGGGTGCTGGGACTTAGAGGAATTGACAGCAAATATTTTAAGATAACGGGCCATGATAGTATGTCTGGCAGTATCAGACAATTTGGCCCTGATAGCACAATCACAGTAACTTATAGTATATAAATCCATGGGTATAGCTGTGTTCCTATAAAACTTTATTTTTAAATTAAGTTGTCTTCATGAATCCTCCCATTTTGACAAATCTTGGTCTAAAGGACTTTTTCCAATATCACATACATAGTCTTTTGAATAGTAGGCCTCTGTCTTTAACTAAAAGATGTTCTACCAACACCTGAGAATTTATGCTATGCCATTTTAAATCGGTAACAGAACCATTTTTATAGGTGTTTAAATCAGTCTTATAATAAAACATGACTTCTAGGACTAACCTCTATGATACAAAGAATACTTAATAGAAGTCTATTTCAATATACTCCTTGTTACATACAATCGTTTTCTATAATAATTTGCATTCGGCTATTTCCAATATTGTCAAAGGTAAAGCCTTCTAAAGAACAACCTAGAAGGGAAGAGTATTGGACATGAACCACAAATGTTTGTGATCAAACAAATAGAGATGGAAGTTCAAAGAAAATTGTGGTAATTCTAGATTAATCAAAAGTTCCCATACAATGTACAGGTGAATTTTTAACTCTGGCTAAATAAATATTGTCCTATGTAGTGACTATTTATTTAGGTAATGCAATTGAAATTCTGTTCCAGAATGAAAAAAGATCGGTGTATCAGGATAACATTTTGATGAGTAAAAATGACATTTAATATCCTGGAAATCAAATCTGGTGCTAATATTTTCACCCATGGGCCAATCACTTTGACTGTTTGTAATGATAAACTGTGATATTTTGTGACCTAGGGGATACTTAAGAATGGCAAACCCACATTCACTAAGTAAATGTGGCTCACCATCAAATGTATGCTGTGAATGGCGAAACTGGCATCAGTTTTAAAGCTAAAAATGCCCTTGGTGATGATACTATATACATGTATTTATACATAATTTATCAGTGACGAATATTTTCACTGAATGATTCTAAAGACTTGAGGTGTGTGAAGTCTGTGTTATAGACTTACCACAGCTCAGGTTGTTTTCAGCTTTAAGAGCCTGGGTTGAGATACTCCAGAAGTCATTGTGCCAGTCCACAACATTCCCGGGCATACTACAGCTGAGGTTGGCGAGGACTTTCGGATCCATTGTAAAATTCCAAAGTCGAAAGTTATAGATGCTGCCTTTTAGAGAGGCAATTTCATCTCTATCAGAGCCCAACAGCAATGCCCCATTCCCAGGGATGACTGTACTCATGGTGGAATCACATGGAACAGTTTCATAGCTCGTTTTGAAATTGACACCCACGGAACCCAAAGTATTATTCCACACAAGACAAAGCGGCTCAAAATTTTCTGTGAAGATGTCTTCATTTTCCTTCATAGGCAATGCACTGTTAAGCAAGCATCTTGAGCCAGATATGGACAGGAAGTAGCCATTATTGGCCTTTTCAAAACTGAGCAGCTGTGTGAGGGACGCATTGGAGTAGGAGAATGCTATCCAGTCACCATCTTCATTGCCAACTTTGGAGGTTTCAAAGCAGAGTGAGAAAGCAGTGAGCGCAGGGATGGAGACACTTTTAGCAACTGATACCTGATAAGAATCTAACGTCTGGGGCAAAATGACCTTTTGATTCCGTAAGGACACAGCAACTAGGAAAAAACATAACACCATGGCATAATTCCAGAATAGGAGCTGATATGCAAAATGTCTAGTGTCTCTCAGTTCTCTACCACTTTCTTCTAATTAACTTTACTTACTTTCTCTGTTTGCCTTTGCTATCCTCTCTCTGCTTCTCCTCTGTAAGCAATTTTTTTACCAATTCTACTACATGAAAAATAACTATAAGCAATCCCACCAAGGTCATTGTATGATTTAATTTCACAACGAAATAAGTGACAGAAAGTGACAGTCCTGTTAATATTTTATTCTCTGCACAAAAACATTAAAAAACAAAAATCAAAATGCCTGAATTAGGAAAGACTAAGCTTCAGGATGATTTTGTTTGCATATTATGGACTTTTAAAATAGACTATTAAAAAAAAAAAAAAACCACTTTCTGAACACAAACTAGCTCTGCTGCACTGGTAGTTGCCTTTCACTCTCTCAAACATATCAGACAGATCTCATGGCTTCAAAATTTCTGTAACCCAGTCTTTCCCTTCCACACTAATTTTCTGTTTGACCTATAGTAAATTTATTTTAAAGGAAGAATCTTATATGGCCAAAAATAAAACAATTTCTAAATATTTAAAACTTCTAGGGAGGGGATGTTAGAATTACAGATTTTCATTATTACTAGTAAGTGCATTTTTTTAAATTTTTATTTTATTTATTTATTTTTTTATTTTATGCAGAGCTGGGCATGTGCCATACTTGGAAGGCAAAAGCAAGCATATCTCTGTGAATTTGAAGGTAGCCTCATCTACTTAGCAAGTTACAGGCCAGCCATGGCTATAAAATAAGACCTTGACTTTAAAAAAAAATGAAAATAAAAATGTTCTGCAGATAGACAATCTACAATTCAGCTCTTCTGAAACCAGAGTTTTGATTTAGTAGTTCTAGCTTGCTAATGAGGATTCTCCGAGACTACTAATAGGTTCTCACCCTTGAATCCTGAACCTGACCATTCCCATTCACATAGCTCTGTCCTCCAGCCCTGGCACTTACTGCAGCACATGTTAAGTGGAAGCAGAAGACTGGCACCATCTGTGGTTTACATACCTCGAATGTAGCTGGCGTTGAAACCTTTCTTCTGAATACTAAAGTCACTTGAAAAAGACACGTGCATCTCATTCACAGTTGAGTTAAATGACAGGCCTTTGGCAGTTGCTCCACAAAATTTTGTCTGGCTCTCTCCATTATCAAGGGATACTGAGTCATAGATGCAATTGGGAGCTTCTTCAACATCAAAGTCATTAAACGTTATCTGGATGATGTAGCCAGTAGGGGCTCGGAGGATCCATGAGCAAGACTGGGTGTTAGGGTAGTCGTTAGGGTAGCATGGAGAAGTAAAGGTTCCAGAAGGATTGGATAGGACAGTCCTGCAGTTGTCACATCCCCACACTGTTGATTAGGAAAGAGAGATATTATTTTACATGTCGATAAATTAAATAAAAAAATTAAATAGGAAAGAGAGATAATGGCTAAAATCAGATTATGTATGATAAAGCAAGGATACCATTCATAGGGAACAATTAAATAGTAATCATTAAAAAGAATCATAAAAACTAAGAGGTAATGAAAGCAACTTGGGGAGAAAAAGAAATGCCAAGAGTATTCCAAAAAGTAAGACAAATGCACTATTTTAAAGAGCAAAATTTGAGGTTCTGAGAACCCAGTGAGGGATAGAGGAACTCTGTCAAGGAATAGGGACCCTGCAGTTACCACACATGGCAGATAATTTTAAAGAGCATATAAGGACTAACAAGGCTTCAGAAGTTCTCACTAAAGTTCACTGAGAATGCCAGAAATCTCTACTTTAGAGAGACATTTCTGGGGTAAAAGGGTACAAAACCACACATTCAGAGCTCAATATATAAAGAGAAATTCTTAGAAATAAATGTTGAAATATAAAGTGGAATAAAAAAGCACATAAAAATTTGGACAAGTTATTATCTGTTAGTAGTTTTTTTTTTAATTCAAATAACTTACTGCTATTCCATTTGTTTATCACGGTTGATGGTCATCATTTAAGTGATCATGTCACTTACTCATACATTCAGAAAACATTTATTGTTTATTATGTGCTAAAACTTGTTCTAGATAGAATACCAAGAATCAAGACAGTCTTTATATGAAATATTAATACTTAGATCTAAAAAAATATGACAAGTGGTATGATAGTTTTAATTTTCAGCTTGACACGATCCAGAATCACTTGGCAAGACATTTCTAGTGCAGGACTATCTAGATCAGGAAAGTCTGTGGGCTTACTTGGGGGATTGTCTTATTTTATTAATTGGGGAACAAAGAACCATCCACTATGGGTGGCATTAATCCATGCCTTTCTATTTCTTAACTATGGACACAATGTGACCAGTAGTTGTCTTAAGCCCTTGCTACTTTGACTTCCCTGCAATGATGGAACTGTTAGCTAAAATGAATCCATTCTCCCCCAAGTAGCTTTGGTCAGGGAATTTTGTCACAGTGACAGGAAACACAACTAAAGCATAATAAGACATACTGTAGTTCTCCAAAGGTGATGTTTAAACAGAAATCCCACTGAAGCTAGGGAATGCCATAAAAAGTCTAAGAGGCAAACAATTCAGTCAAAGGACACAGCAAAAATAAGTTCTACTACAAATGAAATTTTAGTCCCTGGCATTGAACTGTCAGTTCCATAGATCAAAGTCTAGGTCTCCTTTACACACTACTATTTTCTCGATGTACCAGGGGAACTAACAATCCATGTTAATCGAATGAATGTAGAGAGAGTCTTGTTGGATAGGCAAGAAAATGCTACTATAGCATTTTTTGTAAGAGAATATTGAGGATCTTTTTTTGTTATTCTGAGCTATAGCCTGGCTACCAGCTGGAATGAGAAAACAAGGTCTCCTGTGTCCTCATTTACAAGTGCTTCCTCAGCTAATATTCATGCCTTAAAAAATTATTTGTAGAAATAAGCATAACAATCATGTGTGCACAACATTCTAAATTATTAGAAAACCAACACAAACTTCACATAATAATTCTTAATTGTGTCATGTAAACCACTTTCCTTCCTCTTTTACTAAGTGGAGAAGAATGACTACACAATAGCTGTTCTCAAGAGTGGCAGCTATCATACATATCATTTATTCTTCTATGATACAGTGACATACACTCAAAAGTTGAGACTTGTTAGCCTGCTGAAGTCAGTGTTACCTTGTTGCTATTCCCTGGGGGTTAACTTGTGTTTTGTGAGGGTTTTCTGAGCTCCATTGCACATCCAATTGATCTAATCCTCCCTCTGTTCTTTCAGAGTCTCTAACATTTGGGCATGGTCAAAGACAGAAAGGAGAAAACAAACTATGATTGTCCAGTGTCTGTCCAAACTTTCTCTTACTCTCTCCCTGGAGCATTATGTAGCACTACCCAGAGAAGTGGTGTTACTTCTACTTGTGGTATTATTTGCTCACTGTATGTCCTCTTCCATTAGTCTATAAAGTTAACAATCAAAGGCTACTTACTGGGCATGTTAGCCAGGCTTCTGGAAATACTCCAGGGAGTTCCTGACATAAGAGACATCAGTGTTCAAAATTTTAAAGACTTAAAAAACCAGCTTAAATGAACAGAATGTATCCAAATTAAAGAATGACTACACACAGTGTATAAATTCTAGTCAAAGGAAATGCAAGCCTGAAAAACAGGTGAGGAATGCATGGGTTGTTGGCACGTCTCTCGATAGGGTTGGGGCGGCTTTTTCTTGTAATTAATTCATGCATAGCAGTGACTGAGATGACTGGGCCTCTCAGACAAGTTGAATTTCTTTCATTGAGTCCCAGACTCAAAACACAAAGAAGTCATCCTAGCCTATAATTTGTACACAATAGACATCAGAGGTTTAAAAAAGGAAAGTAAAAAAAAGAAAAAGAAAAAGAAAAAGAAAAAGAAAAAAATAAAAATTAAAAATACAAGCAAACGAACAACAACAAATAAACCCACCAAGTCCCATGTTATATGAACATGCAGACAGGGGCATCATTTATCTAAGAAGAGATACATTTCCCTATATCTAAGACCTAAATAATATGTTGTACTTCCTGTATTAAAGTTTGATTTGTAAAACTGGCTACATATCTTGACCTAGTTTTGAAATTATTTGTGGTGGGTGCGTGTGGGGGGTGTAACATGCTCAAATTTACAGTTCTAATTGGCAGCACAATCAAAATTCAAACCCATTGTTCTGAATATGATCCTATAGTATTTTGTGGAAAACAGATGTGCACAGTGAAAAGACACAGGGTAAAGAGGAATGTGGAGATAGAAGTTATTAATGGCAAAGTTCCAATAAGTAGTTTCATTGCCCAAAATGTATATATTTCCAGAGATTCACTTGAAATGACCATGGAATAATCAAATGCTAGTTGATTCCTATGCTATGAGCTATGCAATTAAGAATTTTATTTGGAGCTGGAGAGATAGCTCAGTGGGTGAAGTGTTTGCTGTGCAAACATGAGGACATAAATCCAGATCCTCAAAATCCATGTAAAATCTGACTACAGTAGCATATATCTATAACTTTGTATGCTAGAGGTCTAGAGACAGGTATATCATAGAGCTACAGTGGCTGGTGAGTCCAGCTGAAATGGCAAGATTCATTTTCAGTGAAAGATGTTGTAAGTTGGAAAATAGAGGAAAACCTCCAACATCAACTTTTGTCCTTAACATATATACTGATGAGTGCACTTTGACAATGCATATACATCTGCAAGCATACATATCACACACACACACACACACACACACACACACACACACACACAAGAAATGAGTTTATTCTGTTATACAAAAGTCTTTTATAAAAAGCTGGCTACTGAAGCACCATTGAGTGGGTCTTAACATGTCTCCTTAAAAATCTGCCCAAGTAAAAGTCTCCCACTTACTGTGTCCTCAAAGCCATACATAGTATTGTGTTCTCCACTTTAGTTAATAAAAGAAAAATGTTTTCAGATAATGTAAACAATAACAAAACCCACATTTATCTCTGTGTGTGTGCCTAAATAAATGCATTAACTTGTCTGTACCTTACAAAATCTTAACCTTCAGTTAATCTTAAATTATCTCCAGAAAACCTCTGTGCCAAAACTTTCCTCAAATAGCGTTTGATCAAAGACTTACTGACTAAATAGCCAATACCTTTCAAATTTTTTAAGTTTATTCATTTTATTTTGTGCATGAATGTTTTGACTGAATGCATATATGTGCACCATGTATGAGTATGGTGCCTGTGGAGAACAAAAGAGGATATGTGGGTATGGGAATTGAACCCAGGGGCTGTGGACAAGAAGCCAGTACTCAGAACTGCTGAGCTATCTTGCCAGTCCTCCGATCTTCTCACCAACACTACAAAATTTAAACATATGCTCTTGCACTCAGCTACTTGTTTAGTTAGAGTAAGTGCACTGTCTGTTATCTATCTATATCCATATAATAATTATCTCTGACATTAAGAACTGCCTAAACAGAACTTTCAGGTTAATACTTTCAAGCAATTCTAAAATGTGTTCCTTTAAACAAAAGCATGAATTACACTTGCTCAGAAAACAACAGAAATCTACAAAACACTCCCACACCTAAAGTTCAGGAAACACTGAAAAGGGGATAGTGGAAAGATTATAAGAGCCAGATTATTTCATGATATTCAGTCCTCTTTTAGATGTCTCCACATGTGGTCAACAAAACAAAATTTAAGAACTGGTGACTGTTATTACTTCCTATTTGTTGAGTGTTAATGTGGTATAGGTGATGAACCTGAAATTAACAGCCAGAGCAAATCTGGGGTTTGCACATTTACCTTACCAATAAGGTGGGAGGGCATATGTGAAGATGGTAATTGGTAGGATAGGTCTGGAGGTTAGCTCAAGTTTTCCACATGAGCCTTTAATTTGAGGCCATAAAAAACCACTCCAGTTTGTGCGTATAAATGGAATCAGTTTAAATAGTGAAGGTTTAGAGAAAAGGAAACTGCAGGTACAATATATACACTTTCTGTCTCATTATAGAATATTTCTTTTTGCAAACTTCTTAGCAATAAGGGAGAGCTGGTATAAAATTCTTTAATACAAATCTTTAAGTAGAATTTTTTTCAGTATGACCATTCTATACATGAGGAATTCTTATTTAAATATGCTATCCATTGGTTTTCATTCATTATCAGAATCAATTACTTTAAAAATATTTATATAAAATTAACTTCTCATATAGATCTCGACTATATTAGCAGAGTTCATTGTGAAAGACAAGAGAGAAAAGGGTGATTTTTAAATTTCCTACAGTCTCAAATTGAACTTCTGAAAGTCTCTTCTGACTTTATTCAAACTATATTACAGGGCCTGACCGATGCTAAATATTTTCCATCACTG